AGTGTATAATCAGAGCTCTGTATGATATTTTTAAAACTTAAAATGTTGCAAAAAGTGAATCTTGAACTAAAAATCAAAAATTACATTGAACCTGAAAATATAAGTATTGTCACACCCCATGTAACCATGTCACATTTATTAATTTACTGTGTTTTTGAGGTCCCATATCATGGAAAACTGAGTTTTCCTCACTTATTTTTTTAAATAAAACTGTGTCCTGTGGTATGTAAACACTGTTAAAAGTTCCAAAACATACAGTTCTCTCCCCACTTTGTACAGTCCATATGAAAATCAGGCTGCAGAAATAGCCTATTTTAATTTGACTGTTGTAACGCACACCATCACATTTATATAAATCTACCTACTGCTTTTTGAGAAAAGCATAATACAAGCCAGTCAGTAAACACAGAGCTCACTCACATACATCAGTCTTAAAGGCGCAGAAACAAAAACATCCTGTTTAATTCTAGGGTTTAGGGAGGGTTGTCATGTAAAATTGCAAAATTGTCATGTAAAACTGGGTTATGACTGTTTTTGGTTCATAAACACACACAAATGTTGTAAGTGAACCTCAGAGAAACACACAATACAAGAATAATGTCAGATATGGGCCCTTTAATGTATACAAAGCTGTATGAACCCTTGGTGACTTTCGTACCAGCCTTCAGTGCTGCTGTCTAGACGCTGCACACTAAGGCAAAGTCGCGGCATCAGTGGACAGTTCTGTGGTTGTTTCAGTTTCAGTCATGTGTCTTTGTCGGTCACACACACACAAACTCTCCTCACACTGACAGAGTTTCTAAATGAAGTTCAGAGGTTTCTTTACAGGATCAGCAGCTGCAGCTGTCTGTTACTGTAAGAGGAAACATTTCATCCTTCTTACACTATGTAATTAGAGCTCTAAAAATCAGACATTTTTAACATGTAACATTAAATATCACATAACAAATCCGATCCTGGCCTCAGAATAAAAAAATTGCATCAAACCTGAAAATATGGATCTTGCACCCCTGTTAACCACATCACATTGGTTTATTAATTAATTAATATCACTGCTTTCGGGAACAAAACCTTCTATCTCCATTTTTAACGTTTTTCAGTTTTTGACATAATTTGAAAATACCTGTTGCCCTTTACATAGTGTGTAAATTTAATGATGAACCAACCAAAACAAATGGCCCAAAATTACTTGGAAAAAAATCTGGTTCCATTGACTTACATTAAAAGAAAGGTATATTTTTTCCTTCTCCTGTAAAGTTGTCATTTTGGAGATACAAGGTTTTGTTCTGACAATAGTTATACATTGCAAGCCATGTTGCAACTGTAAAATGTAGTAATGAAATAAATGTGTGTTTATTTTAAAAATAAATGTGTGTTTGGGTGTGTGGGGGTTTGTCTCCTGGTCAAATTTCGTTTTGTTGAATTTCTAAGTATAAATAAGTTAACATGTCTTCTATAGAGAACACACTTCAGTACATTTTAATGCACAGTTACTATTTCCTTGCTAAATTTAAAATATGGGCTGTGCAGAAATTACATTCATATCTTATGTTTTTATTAATTTCTCTATCTGCTTCATTTGCCTTTCTTTCCTCCTTCCTTTCTTGCTTTCTTTCTTTCTTTCTTTCATTCTTTCTTATTAATTCCTGTTTTTTAATTTCTTCTGTGTTTTATCTTTCATGCTTTCTTTCTTCATCCTTCTTGTTTTTTACACACATACACAAACAGGAAGGTTTTGTTGTTTTGTTTTAAATATTCTGATCTAATCTAATTATGGCATAGGTGTGAATTAAATAATTAATGACTCAATTAGGAATATTTTTAATTGTCTTGGTCAGAATTACAGGAGACTGAGTTGTTTACTCTAGTGAAGTGCTGAAGGACGCTGTATATTTTTTTTTTCCTCTTCTATTTTCCTAAAATGGATTTGTTTCACTCTCTTTTGTTTTGTCCACTTCGTTATCTGTCTACACCCTCTGTCTTCTTCTCTGCCCTGATAAAGACTGACTCCCCCTCACACTCCCATCTCAATTCTTTTTCAAATTTCTAATTCATACTTCTTGTATGTCTTGTGTCTGTGTACTTGTGTGTGTACTTATCCTCAGCACTTTATGAGGACTGAATGTCCTCATGGAGACAGAATATCATGACAAGTGTGGATTTTTCTACTCCTCACTAATGCAGCCTTTTTTGGAAGAACTAAAAGAGCAGATTTTGATTTTGACTTTTGATTACTAAGATTAGGATTAGGTTTGGGCAGGTAGCATTACTTTACTACAGTACTGCAGAAATCATTGAAAGTCCTCACAAATACTGCAACACCAGCATGTGTGTGAGTATGTTGCGAGTAAGAAGTAACACTGTGTTCTCTCCTTTCCTTTTTCTTCCTGTCTTATCAATGTTGGCATTAGTCACCGTGAAGCATGATGCTAATGTGGGCTCGCGCTATTTCCTGTCCCCACTGTCTCTGCTTCCTGTTTACATGAGCGCTCAGCCTCCTCTCATGTTTACATCTGAATTTAAATCTCCTCGGAATTGTCCGTTCCACTGTTAAAGCATACTGACTGTTTGTGAATAGTTTGGGCACCACTTGCACCACTTAACGTCTTAACGACTAATGCTGGGTGTGCACTACATGACTCAACAGATCTCATAAACGGAGAATCTCACACCAGTCAGATCAGTCTTTTGCAGAGGTTCCTTTCTTTTTGTTGAAAAAAAAAAAACATTTTGCATACAATTGTAGTGAGTGGCTGCACTCAAAACACCAAAATGTTACCTGTTATCACACAACACAGACAACTTGTTTGTGCGTTTATGCCCATGCAAGATGTGTAATGAAAGCACAAACTGTTGACAATTATGTGGTTGGCTGCTCTGCATCGAGAGCTGCCAAGCTCTATTTCTATGTATGTGTATATATATATATATATATACACCCACATACACACACTTTAGGTTTGGGTGCTGTGTATTTTTTCATACCTTCCTGACATTTCACCAAGGTAAATTATATATTCATTATATAATGATATTTGTGTAACCCACAGGACCACCACAGACCAGGTAATATTTGGGTGATAGATCATTCTCAGCACTGCAGTAACATTTTATCAGCTTCACTTAGCATATAGGTGCACTTTGTAGTTCTACAGTTACAGACTGTAGTCCATCTGTTTCTCTTTATACCTTATTAGCCCCATTTCACCCCTACAGGACCCTTACAGAGCAGGTACTGTTTGGGTGGTGGATCATTCTCAGCACTGCAGTAACACTGTGGTGTGTTAGTGTGTGTTGTGCTGGTACGAGTGGATCAGACACAGCAGTGCTGCTGGAGTTTTTAAACACTGTGTCCACTCACTGTCCACTCTATTAGACACTCCTACCTTGTCAGCCCACCTTGTAGATGTAAAGTCAGAGACGATAGCTCATCTGCTGCTGCACAGTTTGTGTTGGTCATCCTCTCGTCCTTCATCAGTGGTCACAGGACGCTGCCCACAGGACGCTGTTGGCTGGATATTTTTGTTTGGTGGACTATTCTCAGTCCCAGCAGTGACACTGAGGTGTTTAAAAACTCCAGCAGCACTGCTGTGTCTGATCCACTCTCACCAGCATAACACACACTATCACACCACCACCACGTCAGTGTTACTGTAGTGCTGAGAATGATCCACCACCCAAATAGTACCTGCTCTGTGAGGGTCCATGAGGTCTTGACCACTGAAGAACAGGGTAAAAGGGGGCTAACAAAGTATGCAGAGAAACAGATGGACTACAGTCTGTAACTGTAGAACTACAAAGTGCACCTATATAGTAGGTGGAATGTGTAGTGGGATATATGTTATATGTGTAATGTATATGTAATATAACAGTAAACTGCTCACATAAATGACTTCATTGTTCAGTATGTTTTGTTTGTTATTTGTTATAATTTGTTTATTATTTTTTTATTCCTTTTAATATTAAGCTCAGCACGTTACAGTTCAATATAGGTGGTCCAGTACTTACAGTAACATATAATAAACTGAACTGTACAAAAGGTTCAACAAAGTTGCTTTGTGTTAGAACATTTACAGGTATTTCTTTGTGGGACTCTTTGCTGCAGATAAATGGTTGTTTGCTTCTCGCTGTGGCTGAACACCTTCTGTTCACACACTGAATTTCCTCTCACCTTCTTAACCTCTTCCTCTTTAAAACCGTAGAGATAGCACAATAATTAATGTGATAACCACATTTAATCCGAGGTGTCCTCATCTAAATCGGGTACGTATATGATGCATTTAGGGGTAAATGTGTAATGCATAAAGCTGCACTAGCTCTGTCTTTGAAGACTCAGTATATCAATCAGTCATTAAAAGTATTTTCTTTTTCATTAGCAGACAGTTTTACGTTAAGCGCATTAACCACAAGCACTACACAAAAACACCCACAGAAAATACAGGATGTTTTGGCAGAACAGAGCAGGATTCATGATGAGCAGTATGTGCGTGTAGGAGTACGTCATAGCACTTAACCGTACTTTTTGGGTAGTGTCAGTGCTTGAAGCTGTATGCTTCGACAAAAGGACAGATCTGGACCAATTATAGAGAGCTTGCAAATATCAACAACCACCATTATACAGTAACTGCAGTGCAGACCCCTCAGGGCCTTCTAGATCTTCAGAGGAGACCTAAAGATTTCTGGAAACGAACCTGTTTAACTTTTTTCATAGAATCATCTGTAATTCTATAGAATAAGTTTAATAGGTTTCGTTTCCAGAAGATCTAGAAAGCCCTGACGGGTCCACACTGCAGAAAGTTTCTATATGTAGAAACCTTCTGACTTATATTTCTTTGTAGTGGTGGTGATGGGAACCAGGGACTGAACCAGACTGAAGGCCTGGCTTTAATAGTCACGGTTCGCCCCTGCTGTCTGTCATTAGCATCATTCTGAGCTCCTGTCAGTGATTTTTTTTCTCAGGTGTGTAAGTTTTGCTGTATGTGTTTTTGTCTCTTCTGCAGGTGTCAGTCCACTGTACTGCAGCCTGTTTGCCTTGATGAGGGAGAGTGACCGTATGTGGTATCCACCCAATCACATCTTCAAAGCAGATGAGTCCACCAATGAGAAGCTCCTGTTCAGAATAAGGTAGCTAATAATGTTTTGATTTTTTCAAGTTCATTAAAAAATATATTTTGCAATTAAGTCGGTGAAGGCAGCAGCCTGCACAGCACACGTCTATTATTAGCTAGTTTAACCGAAAACAATATAGAAAATTATTATTATATTTGATGCAATACAGTGAGTGTGTTTACATGCACCCGGTAATTCAATCATAATCTGATTTCTGCAGTTATCTGATTATTCAAGTGGTCATGTAAACATACTCAGATCTAGAAATCCGATTAAGAAATCCGATAAAGAGAGCTGAATTTTAGCTCAGTAATCAGATTTCTCAGTGCGTGTAAACTCTTACTCTGATTTCTTTCGGATTTCTCAGTCTGCACATGTGCGGAAACAGACTGCTGTACCAGAAATAATCGAGCAGTGTTGCCATGAGACGCAGCAAAACATGATGAAATGAGGGATTCAAATATTCTTTATTTTCTAGATGATGTTTGTTCATATTTCCAGGTAAAGTGTCAAAAGCAACGACATGAAGTTTGCGTTTTATATTACGTTTACGTCACCTCTTCTGTGAGTTTATTGGCTGGTTGCAGAGCAGAAATCTGATTACTGCCTGGCTCATGTAGACCTGCAGTTTCCCCATTATCTGATTACTCAAGTGCATGTAAACGCGTTGATCGGATTACTGACTAAATCAGTTACTAAGTCCATGTAAACACACTTGGTGATGTTTTGAATTGATACATTTTTCAATTTTTCGAGAGAAAACGTGTCTTATGTTAATATTGGATCGATATTAATCTGTATGTCTATCTGTTTGTCTGCCTGTCTGTCTGTCCGTGTTATTTTTGCTACCCTATTTCCCTAAAGCAAGGTTTGCACTACACGATTATTAACCAGATTTTAACTCTAGTTTGCCCTCTCTGACAAATTTTCACAGTTTGTAGCAATGTTCCAGGCCAGGAGCATGATGAGAAGTGATTGACAGTGTGGATGATCTGGTTGTGTGAGAGGGAAAACGAGTCTTTAGTCCTCCGATCAAACTCTGAAGTGATTGGAGGCCCTCTGATATTTTCAAACACGTGAGATTTACGTTTCGAAGTGTTCACGAGTTCTGCAGTGAGTGATGTTCGGTGACGTATTTGCAGGAGTGATTCAGGCAACAATCAATAAGAGAGCTGGAAAAAGCGGGGAGAGAAAAGTGAAGCGAGACGTGAGTGCACTCATGAGTAGCACACCGCGGACGCAGAGGAGCTGCTTGTTGAGTTCAAGCAAATAATCACTCTCTTTACAGTTTTAATTCGTAGTAAAATATTTCTCTGGCTCTGACTGTGATATCTGCGTCTCAGTCCCCATTTTCATCCCCAGTTTGTGTTTTTGCTACGCTTCTTGTGCGCGCATAAAAGCACAAGCAGGTTCAGTCCAGTTTAACTTTGGTTATCACTTGATAATGAGGGAGATCTGCAATTCTGAGTGCTTTTTGTAGACGAAACTCGGTAAGTGTGTTATATTCTCTTCACCTTATTGTCGTGTGCACATTCTCGCAACAGAATACCTTGATATTCTGTTAAAGACGAATGTTAAGTGTGGGGTGCTCTCCGTTTTCAAAATCTGTTAGGAATTGAAAAGTCTTGTAGTGTACCCCCATCTTATAGCCCACTTCTCATATTTTTCATATTATCTTGTTCAGTGATCTCAAACAGGCTTGTTTTTGTGGTTTCTGACACTGTATGACATGCCGTTATTCATAAACACGGATATAATTATATAATTACGTTACAGAGCAGAAAACTGTAGTAGCAGCCAGCATGAGTGAATTTGTCTGTGCTACTCTTGCTTTAAAAGAGGCCGAAAGGCAGCACATGTTCAGTTGAAGCTTTTTCTGTTGCATATTAAACAAGGGAGCGGAGTGAAAATGATCACTGCAGGTTTCGTTCTTTCTTTTTGGAATGTTCTGACTAGTTCAAAGAGCAGATCTCCTTGTTACTCAACTGTAGACTTGTCAATGTTCTGAATTACTCAGCGCTGAAATTACCAATCTGCCTCAGATGCTGAACCTGATAACATGCTGCAGTGTGTGTGTGTGTGTGTGTGTGTGTGTGTGTGTGTGTGTGTGTGTGTGTGCTGTGTTTGCTGTGTGTTTGAAAACCCTGAGTGTGTGTGGCCATGTGCACATGCCTTTACACCAACATGAGGAGAGGACCACATTCAGAATGTCTAAGATGGATTTTATGGGCAGTTCTTAATGTTTACATTTATAAATAAACGCATTTATGTAAAATCACCATGGGAACTACAGTAAACAGTAAATCTGGGGAGTTGGGTGAAAAGGCATTGATATGTGGATCTGAAGGTTCAACTGTAGTGACTGGGCAATGTTAGAATCAGTTATAGCCTATTTTAATTTTCTGTATCTGTCTATTTAAAGCTAATGATTAATGATTAGCTTGTCTGAAGCTAAATATGCTGTGGAACGTTGAGCTTTCTTTCTCAATTTTTACCCGGTTTTCTCCCCAATTTAGTCTTTGCCAGTTCCACCCGCTAGTTAGGACTCCCCCAATCACACACGACGCTATCAATGCTAGGAGGGTGAAGGCTAACACAGGCTTCCTCCGAGACCTGTGAAACCAGCCACCGCATCTTTTCGAACTGCCGCTCACGCAACGTCTTTGGACAGCTGAACGCGCTCGGAGGAAAGTGCCAACCGCCAGATCTGTTCCGTCAGCTAACAGACACCGGCGTTGGTTGAGCTTTCTTATCTTGAACCTCTACTTTTTGGACATGAAAACCTACCACATTAAAATGTTTGCATATTTCAGTTGTTGTGATTTTAACAAAGGTATTCAAAGCTGTTTTATGTGATGTAGTAAATTGTAGAGAAACTTTCTGACTATTTCTTTACAGTGGTGGTGATGGGAACCAGGGGTCACAATGTCTACAACACAAACATAGACATTTTATTTACTATCCAAAACCACCAGTGAACCTACAAGTGTCCTCTGAGTTTTTGGATGTGAAGCTTTTAATGGTAAAGTTGTGTTAAGTTTTCTTTGGGACTGTTTTGCCTTACAATACGCTACATGTACTTCTCCTCCATGAGTAGACTGAAGACATCTAGATTTTAGCCCAAAAGTGTATCTAGGAACTATCGAAAAACGGTGTCTTGGACATCAGGTAGCATATAGATAACCATTTTGTGTAACATCTTTCTGTAACGGAGCTTTTAGGGGCATTAAACTCTTCGGATGTCTGGTTCCTATCAGCACCAATATGAACAGTTTCTCTAGAACAGAGTTTTTCACGTTAAACCACTCTAAATGACTTTGTTTATGTCTTAATTTAATTGTGTAAAACATTTAGGAAAATCAGTGAAATTCCCCTTAACATCAAGTCACTTAAAGATTTTTCTGATCTGAGTGATGCAAACATGTTTTCAAGGTTTTTAATTTATTTACATCAGCAAACATTCATCAGCAATCATATCAGTTCTCAAACATGTACATCTGCGTTGACCATTTTGTAAAGCCATTTTTTGTGATCTTTGTCTCCATATTGCAGAACAAAAGCAAACCAAAACAACCCCCTTTTTACCTTCCTATCCCACCAGTCCACTCATACCCTCTATCTGTACATTGCGCTGCTCACAATAAGTAAAGCTAGTTTATTTTTTAATTATAAAGGTTTTTAGTCTGTTTCTAAGATACTAGGGAGCCTGAGCTGAAAGTTGGACACACATAGCAGCAGTAATTAATGGAGGCGAGACGGCAAGTGGTCAGTTGATTTGGTGATGTCAGATATTTTTACGAGAGACGTTATCAATGAGGAGACCGGCTGAGTGGAAAAGGTCATACTGCTCAATATTGCATCTGTTTACAGAGAAAGTCCTGCACTTCGATAAAAAGAGCCAGTTGGCTCGCTGGTTAAGCCACAAGCGGGTAAATTTTACCAGTGAATTCAGACATGATTTTGAAACATTAATGGCTTTTACGTTCATGTTTGGGGTTTATGTCTCTCCCTATTCAAAGTGATAGGACGCCTGGTCTTGTTTGACTCTAAAGAACTTCCCTGGGTGTTGGTAAGATGGCCATTTAGTGACTTAGCGAGTCACAAGTGCCAAGTCAATAGTCCTAATCTTTGAGTCCTAAACAAGTCAGTATGCACTCTTCAGTTAATGTAAGGCCATAACACCAAATAATGGTAACAGTACTATAGCTTTTTCATGACAACATGTTAGTAGTGTATGGCTGTATATGAATTTTTTTTTCCTTTTTTTTTCCTTCCAACTACAAAATCCTTGATACACAGATAACCATGACAGACATGGTGTACACGCAAAGAGTAGTGCACCACACATAAAAATATATTTAAGTATATATATATTTTTTTGGGAACATTGAGAACATAGGATTAAAATAAAAACTAGCTCAGCACTAAAATTAGCTCAGCCAACCAAAAACCAGTCGAGTCTCAAGCAGTCGAATTCTCTGTGACTCGCCTCCGACTCAAGTCCAAGTCATATGACTTGCGTTCACGCCTCTGGTGCATACTCACATCTTATCCTATTTGCGTCAGTGCGGTATGCATAGCTTAGTCTGCACAGACCACAGAATACTTTTTGTACAGGCTTTAATTACAGGCATTTTGCAGAGGCCAGTATTGGGATGAAGATAATTAAATAATGATGTTTTTCCCCTCAAATGAGTCTCACTTACTTACTTACTTACTTACTTACTTACTTTATTACTTATTTATTTATTTATTTATTTAAATATTGAATAGGACAGGTTCCTCATTTTCCCTTACATGTATGTGCCATTAGCTATTCATAACAGAACATCTCTCTCTCTTTCTTTCTCTCTCTCTCTCTATCTCTATCTCTCTCTCTCTCTCTCTTTCTCTCTCTCTCTTCTCTATCTCTATCTCTCTCTATCTCTTTCTCTATCTCTGTCTCTCTCTAGGTTTTATTTCCCTGGCTGGTACGGCAGTGGATTGAGTAATGCTCATCGTTATGGCGTCACTAAGAGCTCTGAGGCTCCTGTCCTGGATGACATCACCATGGCCTACCTGTTTGCCCAGGTAAGTGCACACCTGTCTCTCTGCCCTGAGCTTTATATTTGTTCAGAAAAAAACACTAACATTAGACAAATACAAATAAACATTTTTTTTCAGTAATAAGACAACAAGCCACAAGAACTTATTAGTAATTAAGGGTCACTCTTATACTGTAATGAAATACACTTGCACACCTATCTCAGTAATTATATAGTAATAGTAATTACAGTGAACAGTTCTTCTGCAGAGCAACATAGTTAACCATTTCCATCCTTCCTCTGGTTTCATCCAGTATTTGTAAGTCCAGCCAGTACCTGGTTTGGCTTTAATCAGTTAAATCTCTTTTCTGTTCCACCATTAATGACATAAATGACCAAAATATTACTAAAATATAAAAGATGTTTAACTGTGACTTCTAACAGTTAACTGGACTGACATTAATCAGACTTTAGGAGTTTGGCGCTGGCAGAGTGCAGGTTTCTTTGTGTTTGATTAGTTTGCTGTGTGTATGTGTGTCTGTGTGCCCTGTGTGGGTAAAGCATGTGTGTTAGAACAGAGGAAGTGGAAATAGAGGAAAGGAAGAGGGTGAGGTTGCACCCGTTTTGCTCTTCCCTTATTCAGAGACATGTTTACATCAACCAGTTTACAATTGCTTAACATGCAGCATGCTGCGTTTGGCTTGAATCAAGCTCTTTTCACTTCTATTTGTGTTGCTTTCTGTGTGATATACATAGAATTATACCATGACTGATATAAATCTGTTTTCGTACAATTACATAGTGGTCCATGATTGCGCTACATCTTTTTCCATAGCCACACTTAAAATATAATATCACAATACTTTAAGACATTTTCATGATACACGATATGCATCACAATATTTAGTTTTTCTGAGATTTAATAGGTTGGAACAGATAAAATGGAATCTGTAGCGCTGCATATAAAAAGCTTTATTATTATTATAGTAATAATAAACCTGCAACTACATTGATTTTTATTCAGTGCTCTACAAACTGCACTAAATTCAGTTAAACAGGCTGAATATGAAGAAGCAAATACATTTGTTTTGAACATGAATTGAGCAGAAAAATATGACGATGACTAGACAAGTTAACACTAGCTGATGCTCAGCGTTAATATTAGCTGTTTTCCCCAGGAACATTGCTGTGAGGACTTGATTGCATTAAGCCACTGGAGCATTAGTGAGGTCAGGTACTGATGCGGGATGGTCAGTTCTGGATCACTCCAGCTCATCCCAAAGGTATTGGATGGTCCTTGAGCCAGACACCTAACCCTGAACTGCTCCCTGGGCGCTGTGGATAGGGCTGCCCACCGCTCCGGGCAAGTGTGTTCACTGCCCCCTAGTGTGTGTGTTCACTAGTGTGTATGTGGTGTTTCACTGCACGGATGGGTCAAATGCAGAGGTGAAATTTCCCCGTTGTGGGACTAATAAGGGTCACTTTATACGCCTCCAGCAGACGCTTGGCATTGATCATGGTCTCGTGCGGCTGCTTCAGAGCAACCCATTCAGTTGGTCAGTGCCTTTCTTTGGAGAGTATACAAGCTGTGTGTGTGCAGTTTAACACTTCTGTCAGTAACAGGTGCACCTAAAAGTAGCTGAATTCACTAATTAGAAGGGCTGTGTGGATACGTTTGTTCGTAAAGTGTAGCTCCTACACTGTTAGAAATAAAGGTTCTGTGCAGGTTCATGTTTCATTCATCAAGGTACCAACAATGTAAATGTTCCCTCAAAGGTACAACAGTGGTGTTAAGGTCCAATTCTGCACCTCAAAGAGATTTTCCCAGTGGAAAAGTATAAATTTGTACCTTTTCATAACCAAATGTTTTAAAACAGAACAGTAAAATAAAAGCCTGGAGACGAGACGGGGTGTGTGGAGTCAGTACAGCTTAGAAAATATAATTTTAATGAATTATGGTACAATTATGTTCCATGACTAAAGGTACTGAGATGTACCCTTAAGGGGGCCCCAGTGACGAGAGGGGTACAGCCCCAGTGGCAGTTTCAGACATTTATTGAGAGTGTACAGCTATAGTTAGCTGTCCAACACTCAGTTATTGCTGTACATGAAATTAGTAACATAGGATTTAAAAAACAGCCCAGGGCGAAATGTGATGTGTGAATTTCTACCGTTAACTAATTTGCTAATTTAGAGCGTATGTGTGGGTGGGCTCCGAGTTCATAGTACCCCACCCCCCAGCCCCCTACTGAAACCAAAACTACACCCTTTCTTGTAAGCTTTTGCAAGGTGTTTTTCCTTTTTTACTGGTACACAGAGCAAGTGTGCTAGCAAGCTTTGCACGCTTTATATCCACCTACACACTCACATTTAGGTTTAAGCTTACCGAGTGTTATGCTTGAACAGAGAGTTAACTTGCTCGAGTGGCAGTTGTTCCTCTTTTGCTCGTTATTCACGTAGGCTGTTAAGGTGTGTCGTGCGGTGCTGGTGCGTTTGGTGCGAATGTTCTCCAGTGTTAGCCAAGTTATTAAAAGCTAATGCAGGCCTTTCCTCTTTCCAACTTTTGTTCTACAACAGAAAAGGGAAGTAGTGGAACATGAATAAGTTGACACTAAGAAAATACGTGCTTGTGCGTGCATGTGTGTGTTGCTTGTTAATTTCTGCTCTGGGACTTCCATGTTTCTTTGGAAACTTCGGCTTGTTTCCTCTAACAGATCTCCTGGAAATTTCTTCTTCTTTTTTTTTCTATCCAGGATGTTTATAAAGGCATTACATGAAAGAAAGGGCTCAAATACTGTAATGATTGTTATAATAATAATAATAATCAGAAGAAGAAGAAGATAGAGGTGTTTTAGCAGTGAAAAACAAAACCAGAGAGAGATTGACCTCATTTTAACTGTGCTTGTTTCCATACCTGCTTTTCTTTCCCCAATACTGGGCTACACTAGATATGCTAAAGTTTATAGCTTATCCAGCATTTCTTCAGAAATTAAGGGTATTAATAGGGAGTTTGTTCACCTATGCTGCAGCAACAGCCTCTACTCTTCTGAAAAGGCTTTACACTAGATGTTGCTGTGAGGATTTGATTGCATTCAGCCACAAGAGCATTAGTGAGGTCAGGTACTGATGTTGGATGGTCAGTTCTGGATCACTCCAACTCATCCCAAAGGTACTGGATGGAGCTCCATCACTCCAGAGAACACAGTTCCACTGCTCCACAGCCCAATGCTGGAGGGCTTTATACCCCTCTAGCTAACGCCTGGTTTTGGGCGTGTGTTGCTATAAATTTCTGCTCTGGGACCGTGTTTCTTTGGAAACTTATGCTTGATTTCCTCAAACTTTTTTTTTAATCCCTGTTTATAGTGGCATAACACAGAAAAGACTCAAATACTGTAATGATATAGATAATAGTAGTAGTAGAGGTACACAGAGGTATATACAGGTGCATAGTGTGTTTCTCAGTCTGCTGTAGAGTTGGCTGAGTATTTTCTCTCCATGATAGGTGGGAGTGGTGGGAGTGGGGGGTGAAACATGATATGATTGTTTAGTATTATTTTGCCCCGCCCACTGGTGCACGATGACATAATCAAAAATCATAAGATGCTGTAAAATTATTTTGATAGAAGATTGCAGAGAAATAAGAATTTTGTCTTTTAGGTAACATGTTACAATATGACATTAATTATTCGTGCATAATATAATCAGGGACATTAAAAAGATAACTAAAATATAATGTGAAGGTTCAATGCTAGTTTTTTTTTTTTTTCCCTAGACCCCTTGTTTTTCTTAACCAGCATTTTAGAAAATCAGCATTTCCTCCTGAGAGAATCCCAAGAATCTAAATAAATAAATATGTAACTTTATCCTTTTGTATTTTTTAATTACATGTAATTTTCATACTTTCATTTACAAATTATAACACAATTTTCCATTGTGTTAAAAATCAGTAGTTCCAGGTGACCAAAAGACTATTTAATACGATAACTTGCTTTTTAGCTATAGGGTTTGATCAGTTTGAACAATTTCTTCAGATTTGTTTTGAGAGAAGCTCACGAAACATGTAGACCAAAGTAATTTAACCATGATTAGGTGTGTCCAAACTTTTGACCAGCACTGTAGTGCGATTTGGTTTGTTTTTGTTTCCGTATTTTGTTCATGGTTGTGTTTAAAGTTTCTTTACTCTGTCTCTCTTCCTTTCTCTCTCCATCTCTCTCTCTCTCTTAATTTGATTGATTGATTGATTGATTGATTTTAATTGGAGCCTGAAAGACCTGGAGCCTTTTAAAGAAGTATGATGCTATGGGAAGATAATGTGCTCTGTATAAGATGATGAGCTCTGCTTTGCTCCACAGCTCAGTTTATATTCTCTCTCTCTCTCTCTTTCTCTCTCTCTCTCTCTCTCTCTCTCTCTCTCTCTCTCTCTCTCACTCTCTCTCACAGTGGAGGAGCGATTTTGTGGATGGTTCTGTGTCTGTTCCGGTCAGTCATGATGCTCAGGAGGAGTGTCTGGGGATGGCCGTGCTGGACATGATGCGGATCGCTAAAGAGAAGGGCCAGTCTCCTGTCGACATTTACAACGACAACAGGTGAGAGATAGACCTGCCCAGGTGTGCTAAAGCACAAGGTCACACTGCAAATTAGTTTTTTGGCTGAACTATAAAGTAAGTAAATCAGGGAGAATGCTCAGTTAGTGTGCCTTAAAACATCTCTGCATTTCTCTAAATGAGTCTCCAAACATCTCACCTACCATGTGCTCAGCAATCCAGTGCTGCCATCTGCAGCTAAATTATTCGTAGCTGCTCTTTGTTTACTTGTCTTTACGTGCACATTTATTTATTTATTTTGAAACCCCTTTGAAACTGACGTTTTATTTACAGTTGCCACATTCAGAATAATTTAAAACATTTCGTAAAGAAATCTGAGGATGTGTTTAGCTGTCCGCATCACTCTGATCACCGTGACGACATCAAGTTCGTACTTAGAGCACTTAGTAAACAAGATATCTTTGCTTCTTTCCGGACTGCTATACTACTTTGTCTCTACTGCTTTGACTTAGACTTGACTTAGGCCTAGACATCAAACACTGTGGTTGGTTTGCATACGAGTAGCTTTATTATTATTACTGTTATTATGGTCACTTTGCACTAGTATTTGTGCAATTTTGTAATTGCATAATTACGTGACGTTTCTAAATTAATTATTTTTACTGTTCGCGATTTGTCAAGATTTTATTTAAAATAAATTCTGAATCGTACCAAAAACCTCAAATCTAATTGTGGTGTAATTTGACATTTCATGATGCTTTGATGAATCATTGTAAGGTCAGAGATTCACACACTGTAAATCTGAAAGAAGATGTAAAAGGATTTTTATGCAGTTGTGCTGAAGCTCCAGCAGGAACACATGGCCTGCTGTTCTGCAGTGAAACCCCAGTGTGTGTGTGTGTGTGTGTGTGTGTGTGTGTGTGTGTGTGTGTGTGTGTGTGTGTGTGTGTGTGTGTGTGAACACACTCATTTAAAATGCCAGCTTAAAACAAACATGCCTGTGAAAGCCTTAGTGTGACCACTTTCTATCCATCTCTCGATTTACATTGTATGTGTATTGTCAGAATGTCTGATATTATGTGGGAGAGGTCCTGCAGTGTGTTTTAAAAAATAATGTTTGAAAATGAATAGTTTGTTACTGGGCTGCCTTAAAATTGTGAGTTGATTGACCTTCTAATAGAAAGTTAACAGAACAAGAATCCATGCATCATACTCAGTCTGCTTATTATTTGAAGCTCAGTTAACTCAGCATTTTAAAGCAGCCCAGTAACTTGTTTTTTTCTTAATCTTGTCTGTTCAGCAACATGATTTTTTTCAATGTGCTGAACAGACAAGAAAAAGAGAAAGAAAGTGATGGTAGATACTGAGGAAGGTAAAATGCATTGATGCATTGAAAGCAGCCATTCAACTGCATTAATTTTAGTATGTTGTAAAAATTATATGTATTAGAGATACACCAACATGGGAGCAGTGGGCCGATAGTCGATATTTGTCATTTACACATCTGCCAACGCAATACATAAACATTTACAAAATCTAAAAATCGGGCTGCAATAATAATAATAATAATAATAATAATAATAATACATTTTTATGCATTTCTAAAACTTGGTTATTTTATAACAAAAGAATACAAATCAACAGTAGATAAAACACACACATACGCACACAAAGAGTTATAGAATGTATAGTAAGCTTGAAAGAAAATTTTCCTGTTTGAAATATCACTCAAATCTAAACATCGGTCCAACTTTGATCATTTTGTTTTAGCAATTATGCTCTGATACCATATCATTGAGCATCAGTAATACGGATGTACTAATATTTTGGCCAGTTCTTAAAATAGTTTGGTGTATTTTTTTTTATTGTCCATAATTTAGTACGGTGTAAACTATTTGCAATTTGTCAAGATTTTATTTAAAATAAATTCTGAATCGTACCAAAAACCTCAAATCTAATTGTGGTGTAATTTGACATTTCATGATGCTTTGATGAATCATTGTGAGGTCAGAGATTCACACACTGTAAATCTGAAAGAAGATGTAAAAGGATTTTTATGCAGTTGTGCTGAAGCTCCAGACAGCTCCAAACATGCCCATGAATGCCTTAGTGTGACCACTTTCTATCCATCTCTCTCTCTCTCTCTCTCTCTCTCTCTCTCTCTCTCGCTCTCTCGCTCTCTCTGCAGCTATAAGAGTTTTCTCCCTAAAGGATTGCGAGCTCATATCCAGGATTATCACTTCGTCACCCGGAAGCGGATCCGTTACCGTTTCAGGAAGTTTATTCAGCAGTTCAGTCACTGTAAGGCGACTCTGAGGGATCTGAAGCTGAAGTATCTGGCTAGTCTGGAGAATTTACAGCCTGCGTTTTACACCGAGTGCTTCCATGTCTCTGAGCCGTCCATCGGTAAGGTCAGGATCATCGTCACCGGAAACCGCGGCATCCAGTGGACCAAAGAGAAAGACACAGACCTACAGGTACAGTCAAATTCATCCATGAAGTAAAACCAACACAGTTTGGCTAAACACTTCACAGTAATTCAAATAAAATCTAATCGAGTAATAAAATCCAAAGTAGTGGTTTCTGGATGGGGAGTGGGTGATCCCTTCTTTCTCTCTCTTATTCTTATTGTACACATACACCTCTAACCCTCTCTTTCTGTCTGTAGGATCTGCAAGTATACTGTGATTTCCCTGATGTTATTGACATCAGCATTAAGCAGGCCAGCAAAGATGGGTCAATCGAGAGTCGCATCGTGACCATAAACAGACAAGACAGCCAGACACTGGTATGATACATGCACACTCACTTTTGTATCAGTGTTATGCATATGTAAGTACCTATATATAATAATAATATGTTTATACAAATTATATATGTTGGTACCTATAGTTAATAAAATGTCTGTATGCATTAAATATACACGATATGTCTAAAAGTTTGTGGACACCCCTTCTTATTAGTGAATTCATCTGTATTAAGGTGCACACACAGCTCGTACAGTTTCCATAGAAAAGCACTGTCAATAGAAAGGGATGCTCTGGAGCCTTGTCCAAGTCACCATGTCCAATGCCAAGCATAAGCTAAAGGGGTAGGATGCCCCCAAGCATTGAGCTGTTGATCAGTGGAACTGCATTCTCTAGAGTGATGGAGCACCAACCAATACCTTTGGGATGAGTTGGAGTGATCCAGAACTGATCATCGAAACATCAGTACCTGACCGCACTAGTGCTCCCGCTGTTGAATGCAATCAGATACTCACAGCAATGTTTTAACATTTAGTGTAAAGCCTTCCCCGAAGAGCAGAGACAGTAACTGCAGTAGAGGAGGACAAACTGCTTTTTATTACTCTTGATTTTGCAAGAAACATTGGATGAGCAGGTGTCCACAAACTTTTGTGCCATGTAGTGTACATATAAATAATAACAGTATGTAACATATATAAGTAGTGGTATATGTCCATATGTATGTGTGTGTGTGTGTGTGTGTGTTTATATATATATATATATATATATATATATATATATATATATATGTGTATATATATATAGGATTTAAAGCCTTTTCCATTGTTCAAATATGTTTTTGATGCCTGGATCATTGGAAATAAAATCACTACCTGTGCCTAAAACTTTTGCACAGTACTGCAAATGTGCGATTCCTTTTATTAAAACTCTCTCACTGTCTCTCTTTCTGTCTCTAGGAGTTGGAGTTTCACTCTTTGATGGAGGCTTTGTCCTTCGTGTCTTTGATTGACGGCTATTACAGACTAACCACAGATGCACATCATTATCTGTGTAAAGAGGTGTCACCACCAAGACTGCTGGAGGCCATTCAGAGCAGCTGCCACGGCCCTGTCTCGTGAGTTAATACACATGCATATGTTTTCGAGCATATGGTATATAAATATCTGATATCATTGTTTTCGTTTACTCCATCGGTTATTTGAAAATGGCATATGTAGTTTGAAATAATAAAATAAATTGTGAATTCTCCTGTAATACATTTATATTTTTATGCATTTAGTAGAGCAACTTTCAGAGCAGCTTACAGTTTTAATCATGTTACAAGTTTACATAAAATACCAAAAATGGCTAAAATGCCCATCTCTAATACACTGAAGTACAAACACACGGGTTGCTGTATGTCTCTGTCGTTAGGATGGATTTTGCCATCAGTCGCCTGCGTCGCTGTGACAATGCTAAAGGAATGTACATCCTGCGCTGCAGTCCAAAGGACTACGACAAGTACTTCTTGTCTTTTGTGGTGGGGGTAAGTGAATCCTTTGAAGTATGAGTGAAGCTTTTGGACCACAAATCTGAACTGGCTAGACATATTCAAGCATCGAAAGAGATGTCTTCTGAATTAAACCATCTGGGCCATAAAAAACTACTTTTTTATTTGCTTTGTTTAAATTTTTGTACACACTACTCATTAGAATAGGTACAATAACATTAATGCAATAGGTAGTGGTTTAATGAATGAGTGTTTGCTCGACCATTTCCAACACTTCCCCATGTGGCAGCCCTTTATTATTTGTAGTTATTGTTTTTTTTTGTTTTTTTTTAATTAAATCAGGTGTGCTGTTGATGAAATGTAGGAAATGTATGTGATGGCTAGGGCCGTCCAGGAGAAATCTGGAACTAAGCGTTTGTTGTTTCTGACTAGTTTTCTGAAAACAAGATATTTTTGTTTCTTTTTATTGCACTGATTGTTGATTGTGGTTACTCTGTTACATGGTGTTTTTACTAGCAAACACGCTTACTTACCACATAAAAGGTATTAATCCTTCAATGACCATATCTGAATTTTTAATTTCCTGATCTGTATGCTCTCTGAACTTGCCATAGAGAATTTTCCAATCAAATTGCATGACTACAAGGGAGTTTTTATCACTTAATTTTTCATATCAAGTCTAGTCCTTTAGTCCCATGGAAATATTGATTTTGAACACAAAGAAATCAGAAAATCCAAAATTGATTTGTGAATAAAAGCTTGAAAATTAATGTAGTGCAAAAATTATAATGTGTACTGTTACATGTTAATCTATGGGAAAGCTATACAAATATTCATCCCTTTAGACCAAGCAGAGTAATTTATGTGCCATGTCTCCTTATCATACTAAATTTAATTCTTGGACATGAATGGGTTAAACAAGACCTTTACACATTATGAATTTTAATTATTCATGTTTTTAATGTTTTACTGAATGACTTCCTTATTTTACTCATTTTTTAGCATTATTACTGTTTTTATTATTTGTTATTTTTGTAAAGCTGCATTGCTAGTACATACTTACGTAAGTTTTCTTATTATAATTATTTCCAAGTTTTGCAGAGTAATGCTGTCTTTTGTGTGTGTATTTGTGTGTGTGTGTGTGTGTGTGTGTGTGTGTGAAGTATGAGGGTGCTTTAGAGTATAAACACTGTCAGATCGTGCGCACTCCGGCCGGTGAGTTTGTTCTGAGTGGGGCGAAGTGCACGTTCGGCAGTCTGAGTGAGCTCCTGCACCGTTACCAGAAGGAGGCGCTGCGCTCTGAGGGGCACGTCTTCCAGTTCACCAAGTGCTGCCCACCCAGGAGCAAAGGTCAGAGATCACACTAAGCTTTCAGTACAAATGAAAAAGTTTTCAATTTGAACACAGGATTCAGTTGAAAAATTAGAAATAAATAGTGAATTTCACTTTACTCTGCACATCTACACATCACAAGTTTGGGGACACTGAGCTTTTCAAAATGTTTTTAATACAAGTAAGCAAGTTTTCTTTGTAGGTTTCCAGTAACTTAACATGTTAATCAATCAATCAATCAGCCTTTATTTGAACTCTGACTACACTGAAAGAGAACCCCACTTAACAATGTAGCCAAGCCAATACAGAGAGCAGGGTTTGAGAATTTAAACAGAAAAAAACATAACAAATGCTAAAAAGTAATAATAATCATAGTAAAAAAAAATCAATAAACCATTAAAATTACAACAATATAGTTACATAGTAAATATGATAAAATATAGATAAATAAAAAATATAATTAATGAAATAAAGAAATAAAAGATGTAGAACAATTGCTTGGCAATATCAAAATAACTATGAACAGGATAATAAAAATAAAACAATAACTAAAGACATACTAAAATCAAGTAAAGCAGTGTCAGGCTCATTGGAGGCAGTTAGGGACAAAGAGGTTAAAATGTTCATGTGACACCAGAGAACGAAGCTCCAGAAGTTCCTGTAATAAATTCCAGCTGACTTGTGCGCTGTAGCTAAAAAGCAGATTTTCCCAGTTCAGTTAAAAGCTCTCAGCACCTGATGGGTGATTCAGTCTCTGGAACGAGTCGGTAAAATGCATTATTTACACTGAACGTTTCTGTGATGTACCATGACATGTCCATATTGCTAAATATTTGTCACTCAAACCTTTCAGGTGGGCCTAAAGAGTTTCAATATGTGCTTTTAACAACAGTTTGGAAAAGAAACCTCTCAAATCAGTATTTAGGCAAAAACCTGCTTTTTTTGCCATGGAAAACACCGTGATGAACATGAAACTGAATGTTGGAGATAAATATACCTAAAGCATAATCTTTAATCTTAACTGAAACAGCAAAAATCAAACATTATTTCTACCTAAACGTTTTACAGTCAGTGGATATGAATCATTAGAAGATTCTGGTCTGTGATCAGTTCCTTCCTGCAAAATAACTGCGTCCGTAGCAGTCGTTTGATATGCCACACCTGCAGTGAGGACACTCCTTTACATTGGAAAATGTTTTTGTGCTGTCCATCTGTTTTGAAATCATGTTTATGTTTAAAACTAGAAAGGATTACAGTGATTATTTTGTTCAAAAGTATCAGTAAAAATCAAAGCCGTGGGCTGGAGGTTCGGGAACCAGCCTTGTAACCGGAAGGTTGCCAGTTTGATCCTCTGAGCCGACAGTACGTAACTGAAGTGCCCTTGAGCAAGACACCTAACCCCCAACTGCTCCCCGGGCGCCGTGGATAGGGCTGCCCACCGCTCCGGGCAAGTGCGATCACTGCCCCCTAGAGTGTGTCTTCACTAGTGTGCATGTATGTGGGTGTTTCACTGCACGGATGGGTTAAATGCAGAGGTCTAATTCCTCTGTGTGTAAGCACAGTGGGCTAAAGGTTCTGAATTCTATATATTCTATTTCTATTCTATATTATTTAGGAAATTTAAGAAGGCAAGATGTTCCCTAACTTTTGATGGGCAGTATGTATATACAATACATTTTACCTAAATGCTGCTGGCTGATATAACCACATGGAAGGCGTTTAAATGTTTAGCCATCACAGATTTCTAAACACACATAGCTGTTGTTCTCTTCCTTTTGATCTGAGCTCTGTGTGTTCTGTAGTACAGTGTGTTTGTGTGTACACAGAAAGACCCCTATTGACTGTGGGGCACACAGGCATGACCTTGGCAGATGCAAACTAGTGTGTCCTACCATTTACCCCTGGTTTCTGGTATATCCGACCATTCAGACGTTTCCAGTAATGCAGAATCAATTTTGTTGCGGATGAATGTCTAAAAGACAGTGTTTCCCACATATACGAAATACACTTTGGTGCAAAGATGGGGGGACCAACTCTGAAGCATAAATAAATGACTAAGTAACTTGAACAATGATAGTGCTTGGCTATTGTAAATACCTGTATCCTGTCATATATATATAAAGCAGATGGTCTGACCTGATGGCCTGCCTGAGTATTAACCTGGCACCATTGTTAGTGCTGTAAAAGATGATGATTTAGATGCGTTTCTTTTTCCCTGGTAGGTCATACTACAGCCTACCAGCTGGTTTTGTACGCTCAGCAGGAGAATAACAGTGAACTGAAGTGTTTTATGACTAAAAGCAGAAACCATAATCACTGCTAAAAAGGATTAAACGCATGTTAAAAATGAAGACACAAGCTAGACCCGAATAATAGCCTTTACTCACATATCGACCGCTGAAATGACCGAATTGCAGTTCTCTAAGATGTCACCTCTTTCCTGACTGTTTCTGTAAGGATTAAGCTGGTTAAATGACCTAAAATTCTTTCTCTCTGAATATACACACATCAGGATACCTGAGCTACGAGTCTCTCCCCCCTCCAAAATACACATGCTAAGTGTATTTACACGTGCGTTAAGTAAATATTAGGTGACTCACTAGTGTACCTGCAACAAGGCATTCTTGCAGAATCAGCCAGGACAGTTTTACTAGTAAACATTTTGCAAGTGCTGCTTGTTTTCCTGCTGAATCTTTCGTTCTCTCTCACTCTTCCCTTTGTCTCTTTCACTCTTACTCGCTCTTCTCCTCCCCCGCCCCGAGCTGCCTTCACATAACAAACAAATTAAAGGCACGTTGTTGGTTCGAAACGGATTAATGAAAATGCTCAACCTTCTTTTAAGCAGATAAAATATACTTTGGCAGGTGTTTATATTAATATGTTCTTTCTAATGTGGTGCTATTAGTCTATGGCTTAACAACTTTAAAATAATTAGTTAAAGCTGTAAATAACTAAGAACGGTTAGCTTTGTCCAGAATGATGGTCAGAGCAGTAGTTGCTGCTGAACACTAAGAATAATGAAACAAATATCCAGAATGCCTCACATTTCAAAAGTAGTGGTCAACTTTCAAAGCAGGAAACTTGAAAAGAGTTTACTATAAAGCTTGCAGTGCATTATTTATCATTTAAAAACTACAGTGACCCAAAACATATGCCCAGTCTGCAAAAATGGTTCAGTGACCACAGAATCAATATGGTTGTGTGTAATCAACATCACTGTCCCCTGACCTAAACCCTGTTGAAAAACTCTGGGGTGAGCTAAAGAGGAAAGTGCAAAAGATTGGCACTAGGACCCTGGAGGGTCTGGAGAGATTCTGTGTTGAGGAGTGGTCCTTGCTCTGTGTTGTCCAATCTTGCCATGCATTATAGGAGAGTAGTAAATGTAAGGGTGCCAATAATTGTGACACACAATTATTTTGTTAAAACATGTATTTTTGGATAAATTTTCCCAAACTACTAAGCTTCCTAAATTTACTTAACACTACTACAGTTGAATGTTAGCCTTGTATTTCCAGTGAGTTGAGCTAATTAACAGTTTTTCAGTTTTTACAGTTTTCAGTTTTTTTACCCATCTTTACCAAGGGTGCCAATAATTATATAGCTATAGACTTTTAAACCTGCTTTGTACAAGTTATTATTGAATAAAAGAACAGGAATTATCAGTAAGACAAGAAATTACAAACTTCTGAAGAGTAGCATGCAGTAATATTCTCTCTCCAGCGCCATATTTAATCTGAATGAGTGAATTTGCATGAATTAATTTTCAAAATTCAAATTAGTCGCGCTAATGTATCTATACCATTTACACAAATCACTTTTTTATGGGTTTGTGTGTTCCTTCTGATGAAGTTTTGTCTGATAAACATTTTTGAATTTTATTAGCTTCTCCAATTCACATTTTGTTCTTTCTGTTTTCTTTCTTTTTTCCTTCGCTCTTCTCTCGTTCTGTATAGATAAGTCAAATCTGTTGATCTGCCGGAGTAATCAACGTTCAGATGTGTCTCTCTCTCCTTCACTCTTCAAACACAACATCAGTCAGATGGTTTTCCACAAGATCCGAAAGGAGGACCTGGAAACTGTGAGTTTCTGTTTTTCTCACAGCTGCACACGATTATTCACAGGACTGGTGTTAGGAAATATTAGTGCTGTGTTTCAAAACTCCCTGCAATGTCATAACAACAAAACCTTCTGAGTTGTGAGACGTTAAGCTCAGTTTAGCTTTCTTGTGCAGGTCTGCTAGTGGTGTAGACGCCAGTATCAGCACTTTAAGAGAAAGTCTGTGTCTCAGTAAACCACATGCATCAAATTTATTTAAATGAAGAAGCACATTTCTAACATATCTAAAAATCATTCATTTCTGCAGGTGAAGCTACACAATGAATAAATAGCTTTATGACCAAAAATCCTTTTTGTGAACGTTTTGATGCTGCATTTTTCTCGAAAGGGATTAATCCTATTTGCTTCAAACCTTTTCCTGAATAAGAACTTTAATGTATAAAAAAGACAGACTACGACTCCCTTACGATTTAAACGTTTTTTGATCATAAGATACTTGACCAACAAGCTCAATACGACAGTGAGTAGGGTTCTTGTCACTGGGGATATATTCTCTCCAGAATTTTTCAGAGGGGTATCCAACAAGTGTCTTGCAAGGCCATGAGAATATGTAAAATTCACAAATAGGTCACCATCATCATTTGATATTTCCATTATATCGACAAGGAAAATGCTACCTGCAAAAATAAGTAATTTTTAGGTTTGAGAGAAATGTTTAAAACCAAAATTACCCATAAAAAAGATTGTAAGCTGACTGAAAGATTAAATTAAAAGATTGTGGTGTCTGAATTTGGGTCATCGTCATGAACATGACACTACTGGGAGTCTCCTTGAAAAAATGAACATGATTAGAACTTAACTTTGTCCTTTTTTTAGCCATACAAACAACGTCAGGTTAAATATTAAAAAAAAAAAAAGAAAGCAGTGGTTTATTTTAAGTTGACGAAATTATCATTACCAAAACACAGCAAGATCAGAAGGTAAATCTGTAAACAATGTTTTTAACCAACATTTATTTTCATAATCTTTAAACTGTTGTTGGACTAAGTGTTTTAAAGCTAAATATTAAAACGTGTTTACAAAATATAGTAATATGCAGTTTTATCTTAATACCATAGTGTTTTGACAGCAATTGAGGTTTTTCTTTCAACTTATGCAAAAAAAAAAGAGGTAAATATCAGTAATAAATAAGATACATGGACACACTTCGGTAATAAGAATGGGGTAAAAAATACAAAAAATGTAAAATTGAGACGAATAATTTAATGTTTCACTGTACTTTATAGAACTTCAGCGCGTCCTTAAATTATATGAATATTGTTTATCTGCGTAATGACTTGGATGCTCAAATATATACAGACATGGTTTGAGACGCTTTAGAGAGAGTGACCCACATATGGATGATATTTTTGTGGTTGTCTGTATTTGCATTCTCTTAGATGGAGAGTTTAGGCCATGGGACGTTTACAGCAGGTCTTCCGTGGCATCAGGCGTGAGCTGGGGGACTATGGAGAGATGCACGAGATGGAGGTGGTGATGAAAGTGCTGGACAAGACCCACCGCAACTACACAGAGGTATTATGGGAAAAACAAAACAATGAGGGTGTGATTGGTTTAGTGTGGGAGTAATAGCTCAGATAGGCTGCTTATTACACTCAGATAATCATGACGCTTCTTTTGAAATTGTATATGTTTATTTTGGATGAATCATTTAATTAATGGGTGATAAAATATACCTTTTTTTTTGTTTCTCAGTCTTTTTTTGAAGCAGCAAGTATGATGAGCCAGCTATCCCATAAGCACTTGCTGTTGAACTACGGAATCTGTGTGTGTGCTGAAGAGCGTAAGTGTTCAATTCAGTTCAGTTCACTACACTCAGATTAACACCTAAACTTTTTAGCAGTACAACACTGAAGTTCTCTGATATGATGAATAACACTGCAGTTGTGATTTGGTCACAGTAGATAATCATAATCATATCAGCAATTAGTGCACCTTAAAGTAGCTGAATTCACTCATTAGATGGGTGTCTGGATACTTTTGGAGTGTAATTTACCATTTCGAGTGTTTTAAAATGTTGTATTCTCACTACCTGCTATTGTGATTTGGCTAGAAATGTAGAAGCTTTAGATATTTATTGAATTGCTTTATTTTTCCACTAAGACATTATGGTGCAGGAGTATGTGCGTTTTGGTTCGTTGGACACGTACCTGAAGAGAAACCGTGCCTGCATCAACATCACCTGGAAACTGGAGGTGGCCAAGCAGCTGGCCTGGGCCATGCACTACCTGGTGGGTGAAACTTGTGTGTGTAAATGGGTTGAGGAGAGAGAGAGAGAGAGAGAGAGAGAGAGAGCGCATGATTACAGATGTATTCTAATTAGATTTTCTTCTGTAATTGTTCAAGAAAAGTCAGTCTTAATTCATAGGAGTCTTGTTGTTATTGCCATTTTCTGTATGTTCAGTTTACACTGCATAGTTGTCTATCTGCAATTACGTAATTGCTTAGTTACACAATAAATAACATTTATATTTCTGTTCTGTATCGATATGTTCGAGCCTGTACTTGATGTCATAAACTGACAAAAAGCACGTTTCTTACAGCAAAACCTGACGACAAAAACCATTAACTGTTCATCAAATTCGAATCATAATAAAATGTCTCCTCTTTTACTTACAAACATGAAAAAGGCGAATGCATCATGGGGGACCTAGGATGGTTGAAAGTTTTGTATCCTGTATGTTTTCCGTGTTTATTTATTTGAGACTGTGAGGGTTAATATTTTTGTGTCTTCTGTTCTGTTAGGAGGATAAGAATCTGATTCACGGAAACGTTTGTGCTAAAAACGTTCTGCTGACCAGAGAGGAGGACAGAAAGACTGGAACGCCACCGTTTATTAAACTGAGTGATCCTGGCATCAGCATTACTGTACAGCCCAGAGAGGGTGAGACGCACACACACTCGTGTACACACACACACACACACACACACACACACACACACACACACACATACTGTCCCATATGCAACATACACCGATCAGGCATAACATTATGACCACCTCCTTGTTTCTACGCTCATTGTCCATTTTATCAGCTCCACTTACTATATAGGTGCACTTTGTAGCTCTACAATTACAGACTGTAGTCCATCTGTTTCTCTGCATACTTTGTTAGCCCCCTTTTACCCTGTAGTGGTAACTGGATGGTGGTGGATCATTCTCAGCACTGCAGTAGCACTGACGTGGTGGTGGTGTGTTAGTGTGTGTTGCGCTGGTACGAGTGGATCAGACACAGCAGTGCTGCTGACTAAAGTGTCTGTGGCAGCAGTAGTTACACAATAAGACAGTACAGTAGAGAGATTTTTGTGCATAAATAAACACATACACAACATACGTTCACAGAAAAATAGAGGCACAAACGCTTACCTGCATGTATATGCATGTACGTTTATGTAATATATTTATGTTAGCTTTTAATAGTAGCTTAATGAGTTAACATGTTCTATTTTGCCTAAACATTTTACGGAAGAAAAACTGTGTGTGCAAAATACATCTATTTAAGACTATTGTTTGTGTTTAAAATGTGCAGTAATGACTGTTTTTCCCCTGTGTGTGTTTCTGTTGTGTGTGTGTTTAGTTCTGATTGAACACATCCCCTGGGTTCCCCCAGAGTTTGTGGAAGACTGTAGGAATCTGAGCTTGGACACAGATAAGTGGGGTTACGGCACCACGCTGTGGGAGATTTACACCGGAGGAGAGAAACCTCTAAGCTCATATGATTCCTCAAAGGTAACAAACCCCAACACCCGTTACTCAACAGCCAATACTGTCTAATCACTAATCAACTCCAATAGATAATAATCAACCAAACAATATACGCTCCAGTTAATAATCAGCCAGTTAATCCTTAATTATTCTGCAGTGTTCACAGTTGCATAACATGTTCTACACAATAGAAAATATATTTATATGTGACTAATATTCTGATGAAAAAAATGTATTATATTCCATATTGTGTATATATAGTACATAATGTGTATGTGTCCTGCAGAAACTGCTGTTCTATGAGGACAGGCATCAGCTACCCTCTCCCAAATGGACTGAACTGGCCAATTTGATCAACAGCTGCATGGATTACGAGCCTTCACAGCGGCCGTCCTTCAGAGCCATCATCAGAGACTTAAACAGCCTCTTCACACCCGGTACACACTCATACACTCTCTTATGGTGCTTTTCCACCAAGCAGTCGGGTACGGTGTGGTTATAAATCCAGAATCACATATGTCATTATTTCTACTGCCGAGTGAGCCGCACCACTGATTGGTCAAATGCAACAGACCTCTGTAGTCATGCGTTATTCTGTAATCCTCGTTATGCCCATATTAGGAACTCTGGGTCTAAACTCGATTTCTCTATGGCCAGAATGAATGGGGTTTTCGAAAAATCGCCTCTGTCGCAAGCTGTGGTAGATAAACATGTCTGGAACCCGATACTGTGTGCAGTACTGTTTGTCCTGTGTACATTTTTCTCCCAAATATCACTGCATCCTCAGAATTACGAGGTCGTGCCTTTCAACTGTCCGTGAAGCTGAGATCAGCTTTTTTTGCCAGCTGCTTCTTTGAATCTTCCCGTTCCACCTTAAATGACGCAGCAGTTCAGAATGCAAGTGCTGTACCATTTAAGGTGGAACGGGAAAAGTCAAACAAGAAGCTGGTGAATGTCCTGAGAAAATGTCTTTAGAAAATGGTACCAGCATTAAAATACTCATTAGGATATTTTAATAGCCGAAATCAGCTTATCAGGGGTTGAGCAGTAATATTAAGCTGAGTCTGTACTGAGTTAGCCTGAATGCAGGTAAGTTTGTAGAGCCTTTCAAATCAAGCTAAAAGGAAACATCTATCATGTTTTAGTGAGCATCAGATGACGAACAGAGAACTGCAGGGAAACCTGCTGATTTTGTTCTGATTTCTTTTCATCTGCCCTCAGTCTGTACATGGAAATGCGCTACCGCACTGACAAAGCCTGATTAAGGTGGCCGCAGTCTAATGACGTCATTCAGTGTGCAGTAACATTAGCTTAGATGTAGCAATATTCATATTTCGACTTTATAACGACCTCGTAATTCAGAGGATCCAGTGATATTTGAGAGAAGCATGTTCATGTTCAGGTTCTGAGCATTTTTATCTACCACGCGGGGGAAATAAAGGCGATTTTTCAAAAACCCTATTCATTCTGGCCGTAGAGAAAACAAGCTAAGACCCGGAGTTCCTAATATGGGCATAAGAGCGGTGACTACAAAATGACGACACGACTACAGCGTTCTGTCGGCACAGAATCGTCTCCAGTGACACTGGAGTGAAAGGTGCATCAGAACTTGTAGCTCTTTGATTGTTGCTTGTATTGTATGTGTGTTCAGTTAACACTAGATTCCCTTGAGAAATCATGTGACCACACAAGCTAAAAAGAGCTCTGCTTTCTTTCTCAGTTCTGTTGTGCAGTGGGAAACAGACACAGGTGCTCAGCCCGGGTTACTGATAGACCTTTGAACCCGAAACTGAAAGCCACATTAACGTTTCAAATACATCCGTTTCTCTCTGTTAGATTATGAACTGCTGGTGGAGAACGATACGGTTCCAGTGCGGAGTCGTGGGTTTGGCTTCGCTGGTGCGTTCGACAGTCAGGAGCCGGTTCACTTTGAAGCGAGACACCTGATCTTCCTGCAGCAGCTGGGGAAGGTATAATTCACCCCTCCATCCTGACTGTTCCTGTTCCATGTGTAAATGGGTTTATGGTTGAATGGAAAAGTTATCCCACCTAATGGTATCTGTCACCACATACAGAACCATTAACAAATCACTGATTTCAGTGATATATCTGGAAAATGTTCTGATGTTCTAGTCCTGTGCAGCTTCAAAGGTTTTTTAGTAGGAAGCTGTAAAAAATAAAATATAAATTAAGTTCTAATAAAATTAATATCCAGATTGTCTCCTTAAAAATGAAGCCTTTCTCTGAGCCAAATAATTTGGTCAGAATTATTGTAAATAAATAATTTAAATGTAGTGTTTACTATTTAATAACTTGCACCAAAATATTCAAATATTGAATGAAACAACAGAAAATACCTTCTGTTGTCTAACAATTATTAAGGCAAACTCTTATTTTCTCTCTTACATTCTTTCTCTCATACACGGTCTCTCTCTCATTCTCTCTCATATTCTCTCTTTCGCTCTCCTAGATTTTCTCTTATTCTTTCTCGTTTTCTCTCTTTTTCCCTCCGTCATTCTCTTTCATATTCTCTCTTTCATTCTCACTCATTTTTTCTCTCTTTCTCTTTCTTTTATTCACGCATGTTTTCTCATATTCTCTCTCTTTCACTCTCCGTCTCCTATATTCTTTCTCATTCTCTCATATTCTCTCTCTCTCGTTCTCTCTCATATTCTGTTTCACTCTCTCTTTCTCCTGCATTCTCTTTTTCATTGTCTCTCATATTCTCCCATATTCTTTCTCTTTCATTATCTTTTACTCTCTTCTACGTTCTCTCTCTTTTATTCTTTCTCTCATATTTTCTTATATTGTTTCTCTCATGTTCTCTCTCTCTCTCTCTGTGTGTGCAGGGTAACTTTGGCAGTGTGGAGAAATGCCGTTATGACCCTCTGCAGGATAACACAGGTGAGGTTGTGGCGGTGAAGAAACTTCAGCACAGTACGGCGGAGCACCTGCGTGACTTCGAGAGAGAGATCGAGATCCTCAAATCACTGCAGCACGAAAACATCGTCAAATACAAAGGAGTGTGCTACACTGCAGGTGAGGCATATTACACTCCTGTTATGAACACGGTTATTTGGCTGGCGAACTAATCGCTAACCAGAAATCTTCCTCAGATGAGGATGAACAGACACCATCAAACATTTGGGGACACCTTGCCTTCTTAAGATAGTTTCCAAGTAATGTTGGATTTTTACTGTTTCACTTTTCATTTATTTATTTCACTTTTTATTTATTTATTGTCGGCGTAAAACAGCTCTGTGCTAATCCTTTGGGTATATTTAGTTTCATAATGATTTGAAAATGTTCTTTTCCAAACTGTTGTTAAAAACACATTGAAACTCTTTCGGCCCAAATGTAGTTTAAACACCTGAAAGGTTTGAGTGCTGACTTCATAACAAGGTGATAAAGTGAGTGCTGGGTGTCCTCAAACTTTTTACAGGCAGTGTGAATAACTTGAAATCACCTCCAGTCTGAATTTACCTCTCTCTCTTTCCCTTCTCCCTTCTCCTCCCAGGTCGTAAAAACCTGCGGCTGATAATGGAGTACCTACCATTTGGCAGTTTGAGGGAATATCTCGCTAAAAACAAGGAGCGGTTTGATCACAAGAAGCTTCTGCACTACGCCTCACAAATCTGCAAAGTACGCACACATGCACTCACATACAGCCATCTCCTCCGTCAATGAGTATGCGCTGATTGTTTAGCCAAAATAAAAATTTCTGTTTATTTCTGTACAAATTCACTAAAAAGCTTGGTGTATTATTTTTACTGTCTGTGTTTCACTAATGTGAAAAAGTAGTGGTCACAGTGTATTCAGTATATTCTCAAAGGTAGTGCTGACACCAAAATAATTGCATCAAATCATGGCTCATTTCAGAGTTCAGAGTTGCACTGAATTGTGTCCTAAATAATTATAATCAAATCAAATGATTGTGACGTCATCGATTTATACTCCTCCATCTCATGCTTCATGGCTTGTTTGGTCGAAGCATATACAGCACAGACCTTAACAGCACTAGAGGATGCAAACCTAATGCATTTTTCACTGCATATAGTTTTGTCTCATCAACTTCTGGATATTTTTCAGTAAAACAGAAGAAAAGAGTTTTGGCTGCTTAGATCCATCAGGTTTATTCTACTGAGAGCTGAAAAAAACGAAGAAAAACAAAAACGTGTTTACAGTAGCTTTACGATCAATCAATCAATTTACAATCAATCAATCAACCTTTATTTAAACTCTGAGCACGTTGAGGGAGACCTTCATTTACAGTGTAGCCGAGCCAATACAGAAATCAGGGATTGAGAAATTAAATAGTAAAAAACATAACGAATGCTGAAAAGTAATAATAATCATAGTAGTAAAAAAAATGTAATCAATAAACCATAAAATTACAACAATATAGTAACTTATTAAATAATATAAAATAAGGATAAATAAAAAATATGATTAATAAAAAAATAAATAAATACAAGATAATAACACAGCAAAAAACTAAAATCAAGTAAACTATTATTGGCCTTTTTTTTCTTTTTTATGGTTCTTACTTTTGTCCTTGCTTTATTTCCAGTTTATACTAAAGCACATTTTTTTAATTTGCATTTCTAGAAATGGAATTTGCTATACTACTGCTGCTGTTACTACTATTAATAATAATAATAATAATAATATTGTCATGATTTGTACTATTTTACTTGCTTGCATAGTATGTTTTAATATGCTCTGAATCCAGAAAAATAAACGTGTACAAGCTCAGCCTTTAGACCGTTGTGGGTGTCTAATAAGCAGTGAACACTGACCTTAAAAGCACTCACCTGTTGCGTATTTTAGGGAATGGACTACTTGGCCTCCAAGCGCTACGTGCACAGGGATTTGGCCACGCGGAACATCCTGGTGGAGAGTGAGTTGAGGGTGAAGATCGGAGACTTTGGCCTGACGAAGGTTCTGCCTCAGGATAAGGATTATTACACCGTCAGAGAGCCGGGGGAGAGCCCAATATTCTGGTGAGTAATTACACAATATTAATCTTAAAATAGGAAGAATAATTAGTCTGTTCGAAGAGTTGCGAAGTCTTAAATGATTACCTGCACAGGGTACATGCATGTGATAATGCCTTAAACGTTCATGTGATCAGAGTACAGAGTAAGAGGAAATGATTCAGACTGAGATTCACCATCATGGGCTACGTTCACGTTACCAGGTTGAAGTGGCACAAATCCAATTTTTTGCCCTAATGTGACTCAGATCTGATGTTTTCTGATGTTTTTCAGATCTGATCTTTTCAAATCCGACCGGAGCCACTTTCATATGTGGTCCTCGATCGGATACATATCCGATTTGTGGCCATGCAACCTTAATGTGACGCTCAGATGAGAATTCATGTGCGTGTGCCATCATTCAGCGTTAAAGCCTGTAAACGGCAGAAAAGCAACAAATCTCACCTTCTTTTCTCCTTCGTCTCGCTCTAATAATGAAGCTGAGAGCTGATCAGAGTTAATTATCTTCTCAGTGAAGCTTGTTCTGCTTGTTAGTTTGTGCTGATGATGAACGTGATTCATTCATGTGATGTTACTGAGTAGGATGTGCGCATGCGGGTCATTTCAGGATGCAGGTTCGTTCAGATTAATGACAGATTTGAATCACTTACTTAAACGAGCGTGAACCATCCTGTCAGAGAGATCGGATCTGAGCAAAAAATCGGATTTGAGCAATGAGGCTTGTAATGTGAACGTAGCCATAAACGCTTGTTTGTTTCTGGAGCTGCGTCTGCCTCTGTATAACAAGGTATAACTCTGTATAATAAAGGCAGACATGAGGAAGGCACAGTTCTGAGATTAATGGGGTTGATGTATATACAAACCTGTATACGTACAAAATGAGGATGATGATGGTTGAAATGTGTATGTTGTGATGAAGGTACGCTCCTGAGTCCCTGACAGAGAGCAAGTTCTCAGTGGCGTCGGACGTGTGGAGTTTTGGAGTCGTTCTGTACGAGCTTTTCACCTACAGCGATAAAAACTGCAGCCCACCTGCTGTAAGTCTACCTCTCTCTCCCTGTCTCTCTCTCTCTCTCTCTGTGTTTCTGTGCATCTGCTCTGTCTATCCACTTCTCTCGCTCTCATTCTCTCTCTTTGATCACTCTTTCTGTCTTTGTCTTCCTGTGTACTTGTCTCTATCCTGTCTCCCCCTCCTTCTGTCTCACACACACTCATTCCATCTCTCTGTCTTTCTACCCATCTCTTTCCCCTCACTCTCCCTCTTTGTCTTTTCCTCCTTTTATCTCAGTATGTATTTCTCTCTGATTCACTCTGTTTTTCTGTTTATGTCTCTCTATCCATCTTTTTCCCTCGCTTTCCCTTTTCTCTTTTTTCTCTTTTTGCATCTCTTTATGTATTTTCTCTGTCTCATCACTCTATTTATGTGCGTCTCTCTCTCTCTCTCTCTCTCTCTCTCCTCTTTTTATCTCACTATGTATTTCTCTCTCACTAGCCACGTTTACATGCAGCCTGATAATCCGTTAATAATCCGACTAATAGCTCAATCGGAATAGAATATGTCCATGTAAACACCTCAATCGGAATAGTCTAATCCGATTGAGGCCATTCGGAATACAATTTCTATCCGATTAAACGAGGTGGGTAAACTTCTAAATAATCCGTTAAATAGAAGAATAATAGCCATGTAAACGCCTGAATCCGATTACATTCCAATCGGAACGTGTAAGTATGTTCTGCGCATGTGCGTCGCGTCACGGCGAAAGTTTACACCGCTCAACATGGCGGAGCAGAAACTGGTCTGGACCTCACGTGATGTTCGCTGTCATGGTAACGTTTACTCTAAGCGCTACTCCACGCATGCGCGTCATTTTGCATCGGATTACTTGTAGTGAGCATATAAACGAAGATTTTCCATCAGATTGTTGAATAGAGTGCATATAAACACCTCAGTCTAAATCTGTAATCGGATTGTATTCAATCGGATTGGCAAAAATCGTTGCATGTAAACATAGCCACTGTCTTTCTGTTTATCTATGGCTGTTCATCTCTCATCCTCGCTCTTTTTCTGTTCCTTTTTGTATCTCTATGTATTTTCTCTCTCTGTGTTGCTCACTTTATTTGTGTACGTCTCTCTCTCTCTCTCTCTCTCTCTCTCTCTCTCTCTCCAGTGCGGATCACTTGCCATGATCTCATTTGCATAATGCTAACTAGCTCTTTCTGCTTTCCATGCATTGTTAGTAACGTTAGCATTTCTGGGTGAAATATTCCTTTAAAAAGTTTGCTGTTATTTTAAAGTTTGCTGTTATTTTAAAGTTTGCTGTTATTTTCATGTTAAAGTGACAAATAAGTGAAAAATCAAATTTGCACAGTTTCCCCCAAATGTAACTGATCAGCCAAGTTGTGCTGGAGCTACAAGGCTAATGTAGCTAATAAAAGCTCTTGTTCGCCAGTCAGCATACTTCAAATTGCATACACTCGCCTGTGTGGCTTCTTACACTGTATGACAATCTGAACTATCACTTTAAAGTGAATCTAATGCCATGGTTGTGCTCCTCAGGTGTTTATGGAGAAGATGGGTATTGATAAGCAGGGACAGATGATCGTCTATCACCTGATAGATCTGCTCAAACACAACTACAGACTGCCAGCGCCTGAGGGATGCCCTGCTGAGGTAACACACAGATACACACACAGAACCACCACAGAGCAGATACTGTTTGGGTGGTGGATCATTCTCAGCACTGCAGTAACACTGATGTGGTGGTGGTGTGTTAGTGTGTGTTGCGCTGGTCTGAGTGGATCAGACACAGCAGTGCTGCTGGAGTTTTTAAACACTGTGTCCACTCACTGTCCACTCTATTAGACACTCCTACCTTGTCAGTCCACCTTGTAGATGTAAAGTCAGAGACGATAGCTCATCTTTTGCTGCACAGTTTGTGTTGGTCATCCTCTAGTCCTTCATCAGCGCTTACAGCTGCCCACAAGACGCTGTTGGCTGGATATTTTTGGTTGGTGGACTATTCTCAGTGAAGTGCTGAGAATGATCCACCACCCAAATAGTACCTGCTCTGTGAGGGTCCATGAGGGTCCTGACCACTGAAGAACAGGGTAAAAGGGGGCTAACAAAGTATGCAGAGAAACAGATGGACTACAGTCTGTAATTGTAGAACTACAAAGTCCACCTATATAGTAAGTGGAGCTGATAAAATTGACAGTGAGTGTAGAAACAAGGAGGTGTTACTAATAAAGTACTCGGTGAGTGTACATATATTCTACATATATAGAGCCAGTGTGTGAACTTTTGTTTATAATAATATAAGAGCCATTCTTTACATTGTTTGATCAATGGATTCAATAGCATAAAACCAAATTTGTTGCAAATAAATGTATAAAATGATTCTAAAATAATACAGGGAGATTCACTCAAAAGAGGCCCTGAATATTCTGTTGTAGCTCCCGTTAGGATGAAGCAATCTGAACCAAAAAAATATGCTACATACCTTAACGTATGTGTAATCGATTGCATCACGTGCGATGCTGGAAGTGATCTCAGTTTTTTCGGCATACGCATTTTGACACGGTGCTCCGGCGCATACCTGCTCCATCGTTTCGTTCAGATTGCTTCGTCCTAGCAAGAGTTATTACAGAATATTTGGGGCCTCTTTCGAGTGAATCTCCCTGTACTAGTCCTATGCAACTTTGTAAGTTTCAGAAAGGATCTAGTAGAAGGCTAATGATCGTTGCTGTAGATGATTCTAAAAAGACTGAGAAAGCAGTGCAACATCAAGAATAATTTATAATAATATTAATATCTAAAATTACTCATATATAAAATGGAGTATAGATTTGTTTGAGTGCTTCAGCTTTTGGACAGTCAGAGATTGGGACACAAAAATTATAGTCCAGTTTTCTTACAGCAGTTGTTTGTTTCTCTCACTTCTTCAGGTGCACTCTCTGATGAAGGACTGTTGGGCAGCCGACCCGAGCCAGCGTCCGTCCTTCAAGTCTCTCGGCCGCTCAGTGGACACAATCAGAGAGAGTAAAGAAGGCTGATGGAGGAGTAATCTCTCTGCTGCCCACTGGAGGGCGCCACTGCTGCATCTCCTGAGCTCGCATGATTCTGAGAGAGTGAACTAGCGCCGGACACTGACGGCAAACATGGAGAGCGAGGAGTGCATGTTTTTTCTGCTTCCACAGCAGCTCATATATGCTGTGCACTGCAGTATTGATGGGAAATAACAGGCTTTATGAGGCAAATCCAAAGCTTTTTTGTTTTTTTTTCCCTTTATGTAACAACCAACATTACAAACTATGAATTAGTGTCAGGTTGCTTTGTTAACTAATTAGTGTTAAGTCGCTTAAAATCCCAAGTTTATTACTTACTAAGGCTTATTATTCAGTAACTACAGGGACTTCAGACTGGCTGAGCTATTCTTAGGAGTGTAATAAAACTATGGTTGGGTGGGTTCTGGCCATTTAAGGGGTAAAAGCAGAAAGTTATCATGGTATCAGTTCAAGTTATCATTAAAAAAGGTCTGACTGATCTGAAGTTTCATATCTCCAAGTTTAATATCGCTGTTTTTTTGTTTGGTTGTTTTTTTTAGTGTAATACTTGGTGTTTATTGTACTGCAAATAATTGCAGTGGCAGTGAATAAGATGAATCGGTCTCTTTCTGTTTGTTTGTGTGGGGGTGTAGAAAGACATTTCTTGGTAAATGTGTATACGTTTCTGCTCGGATGAATCTGAGTGGAGTGCGTGTGCATGTATACGCTTGCAGTCCTCTAGATCTGTACTAATGGAGCTGTGCTTGCGTCAGAGTGAGGGTTTGCGTGTTCGTGGTGGGGTTATGGTGTAATTAACAATCTTTATTCATCCACCATGCTGGGAAAAATTACAATAATTATAATCACAAGCTATCCTTCAGTGGTCATTTGCCGTTGATGTGGGGTTTGTAAGGATTTGATTAGCGATGTGCAGCACCTACAGCGAATCTCTGAGGATTTTGAAAATTGAATTGAAATTTGACTGATCCCACTGCTTCTGCTTCTCATACATGCTGTGCACTGCAGTATTGATGGGAAATAACAGGCTTTATTAGGCCAGTCCGAAGCTTTTTTTCATTTTTTTTTTTCCTTTATGCAACAACAAACATTATAAACTACGAATTAGTATCAGATTGCTTTGTTAAGCCCTTAAAATCCCAGGCTTATTACATACTAAGGCTTATTATTTTGAGGTTTGTAAGGGTTTGTAAGGTTAGTTTTATTAGCAGTGTGCACCAGCTATAGCAGATCTCTGTGACTATTTTCAAAAATGAAAGACAGTCACTGATCCCACTCTTGCAGCAAGTCTCCTGGACATGAATTAAGCCTACTTTAGGACTAAACTCTGTGTTAATTCATCACTGAAAAGCCTTTTGGTCCAGGCTTAAGCGTAATCTGTGTCTTGGAAACCTGTGATTTGTAAAACGAGGTATGACGTTATATTTTTAAAGGCAGAGTTTGACGCTGCATGTATTCCCCTTTCCATACGGTCCATATATGGAAACTAAGCTGACAAAAAAAGGAGAAAAATGTTTTTTGCTGTGTCACAACTGTGAACATTACCATATATCTGCCTGTGCAGCCTTCAGCAGTTTAGCTAAGGAGTGTTTCAGCTCGGACTGCTTTTTGAACAAAGCACAATGCAGGACAGCCAATCACAGCAGAGGCCATTTACATGTTTCAGCCTTAAAGGCACAGCAGCAAAAATAGCCTGGACAGAGGTCATAAAGAAATGAACTGTTTTTAGGGCATAAACCCACACAAATGGTATTTATGGACTTCAGGGGGGGAAAAACGAACAGTGTGGCCCCATTGATGGACGATAAAGCATCAGTAATATGTATGTGTCGCCAGAACATTTTTAAAAAGCATAGTCGGAGAATGAAAGGCAATACGAGGACTGGTCACCATGGGTAGTGAAAGTTTGTGGAGCTCCAAAGTCCAGCTGTTTTCACGGACATCACCAAGGGGTCAGCTTTTTGTATTAAAAGAACATTTCAGAACAGCTGGAAGTTGAATTTTCTTCATGGACTGAAAAACCTGGACTTTTGATTGAGTGTGTGGATTCCTTTTTATATGGATGTATGAAAATATATGCATTATAGTGATATTTTTTACACGTTTGTATATATAAAATTGAATGTTTTTGGTGTCGTTTATATGGATTTCTTTCTGTTTGTTTCTGTGTCACATCTGTCTGTCACTTTCACATCTTTAAGCGAAAAGGAAAAAATTCTGTGATGTATTTTGAGTTTCTTTTTCTTTTTTTTTTGTTTTCTGTTTTTGAATGAAGAATTTAGGAATAAAAAAGATTTTTATGACTGGAATGGGGATATTTTGTTTTTTGGTAACACTTTACTAAAGGCCTGTGTTCATAAGGCTACATGACACCTTTCATGGCAGTGATGACAACTGAGGCATGTTGGAATAAGCCTTTATAAAAGTGCATGTAGGTTTAAGTCAGTTGTCATGAAAAGGCTTATGTAGGTGTTGTGTAGCCTTATGAATGCTGCTCTTCACTAAAGCGTTACCTTGTTTTTTTATGGTTACTTAAAGCAGCATTGAGTTATTACAGATGTGAGAAGTTCTACTCTACATATAAAAATCACTGCAGAAGTTGTACTTTCAGCATTCAGCCATCAGTCAGTAAGACACGTTTAAGGTCTTAACTTTTTGACAGTGACATTTATTTATTAGTTATATACTTGTTTACAGCTTCACAGCATACAGTATTTACAGGTTGGGTTATTTGGGACAGATGTTTGACACACCAGCGTTACAGTCCAACCCTTCGTTCTGAAACCTGTGAACACACTCGCAAAACAAAACACTCAGTGTTACATTTAACACAGTCAGCGTGTTCAGATTTGCTCTGATTGTCAGAGAAATACTGACCGCCAGAGAAATACTGTGTTAAGATATGTAACACAAAAGTGTGGCATTAATTAACCCCTTAAACTACAGGCTTATTATTATACTTACTCATCGTCTATATACAGTACTGTGTAGAAGTTTTAGACACCTGGAAAAAAAAATATAAAATATATATATATATATATAAATAAATAGCTTTTTATCTGGACTATATCTGTCTGCTCAGAAGAACACTAATATATGTGTTAATATATATATATATATATATATATATATATATATATATATATATATAATATATATATATGTGTGTGTGTGTGTGTGTGTGTATATATATATATAGTGGTTTTATGTGTCAATGTGTTTGATAACCATTTCCAAACCTCTACTCGAGGAAGCCCAGCGTTAATTGCAGTCATCATCCATCCAGCACCTGATTTGCCTCATCAGCCTTTCGTTAAATAAAATCTGCTGATGATGGAATTTTAGCATACTTAAAACATACATGTTTTTATTGCACTGATGCTTATTTGTATTTATTCTTATGTTATTGAGTGCTTTACTGGCAAAAACACTTATTGCCCAGATTAGGTTTTAATGTGCTTAGCAACCAAGACTTTTGCACAGTACTGTATATATGTGTCAGTATGTATATGTATATATGTATATAATATATTTTAAGGGGTTAATTAACACTTTTTGAGAGTGTAAAGTCCTGGAACACACTTTCCGTACTTAATCCCTCCATCCAAACCCCCCATCTGTCCATCTGTACCTCCGTCCATTCCTCAGCAGAGGCGGCCGATGTCGTTTTTGGTGCAGCCCTGGTTGCAGCACATTCCAGCCAAGCCTAAGGAGAAGTTGCGTTTCTTTCTGTCCGGACTCGACCAGCTGATGTCCATTTTTCTGAAGCGTCCAGAAGGAAGCAGCGCATCCAGCCAGGTCCTGATCCCTCCGTCTCTCAGCAGGTCCTCAGAGGGGTTCGGCTCCACTCGGTCACTCTCAGTTTGCTCGCCCATGGCCTGGAGAAGCTCGCTGAGGGAAGGAGAGGAGGAGGAGGAGAGGAAAGAGGGCGGTTTGTTGCTTTGGGTCCAGATGGACTCTCCGGTTCTGTCTGAAGGGTTCTGGTTGGAGGACAGCAGGAAAGGACCTGAGAGAAACCAGAGATGGAAATGAGTCAGAAATATCTGATTTTATATCTAGATAGATGGACAAACGGAGGGGTCAGCTCAAAAAAGATTTAGTATATAGTTGTATACCATTTTTGGAAATAAATAAGATAGATGGATGGACAGAATGTCATCTTCAAAGAACTACGTGTATGTATATGTGTATATGTGTATATATATATATATATATATATATATATATATATGTGTGTGTGTGTGTGTGTGTGTGTGTATACATGTATATATCGTCGCTGTCCAAAGAAAAACATTGCTGTTGTGGGAAGCAAACCTTGTATCTCCATTTTTGTCGTTTTTCAGTTTTTGACATAATTTGAAAATATCCATACATAGACTTACATTGGACAGTACATACATACATATATATATATATATATATATATATATATATATATGTGTGTGTGTGTGTGTGTGTGGGTGTGTGTGTATATATATATATATATATATATATATATATATATACACACACATACATATACATAGATAGATGGAAACATGTTGAAGGATATAACCTATATATTTGATCTATTTTTCTATATATATGTAAGATTATTCAGCTCGTGCTCTTACCAACTTTAATCACTTCTAAACTAAACTGTGCAGGGAAACTGTGTTCCAGTGATTTAGGATCATCTGCATTAGTAAAGACTATTTAGGAAATTTAGACATATAAATACTCATATATTACTTGTCCAGAGTGAAGACTGTCCAGAGCAAAAGTGTCCGCACTGTAGAAAGTGACCAGCTGCGCTGAAGCGTTTCTGGGTTTTGGACTGAACTGAAATGTTGCTCTTGTTCTTGAGAGACTCGTATCTGAGCTGTTAGTGACCGTCAGCACATAAAGTGAGTTTCAGGCTGAACTGAGGAGCCATTTCTGCAGTGTGTGCCAGATAAGACAAGATTCGATTAGTTACGCCTAAGAAACTGTGTCGAGGATTGACTGATTGATTGACTGATTGATTGATTGATTAGTTGTGTCAGATGAAAAAGGAAATGTAAGATGATTTTCTTCCACCAGTAGATAAAAGTCTAAAGCTGGAGCGGAGTGCAGTGAGAGGAGGAGCTGGCCGCGGTGCTGAAACTACAACAAAATAAAAGTCCTTTCAGCAAAACATCAGATTTGTGTGGAAGCGAATTCCCGCCACTCAGAAATTAAATTAAGAAATTAAAACATTTTCTTGAAATGCTGACTTCATATCTCGACATAACTTTTCACTGTGTTGAAATAATGAGTTATTAAATGTCAGGGAAGTAACTATTTCGGGATAATATGTCATTACTATGAGATATTAAGTCATTATTTCGACATCGTGAGTCATTATTTGATTTAGTAGCCTGAGTCAATATTTCGAAATGCTGATTCAGTATTGCGGGAAAGTGTCTGTCTCAGGGTTTTACTTATTTCGAGAAAATCAGTCATTTTTCCATTGTAGTAAGTAAATATTTCGACAGAATAAGTAATTATGTCGACATTTTAAGTCAATATTTAGAAATACTAATTCAGTATTGCAGCAAAATGTCTATATTTTAGGGTACTACCTTTTTCAAGAAGATCAGTCAGTATTTCAATATATTAAGTCGATATATTGACTGAATAAGTAATTATTTCGAAATTTTAAGTCAATATTTCGAAATGCTAATTCCATATTGCAAGAAAATGTGTATTTCAGGGTATTATTTATTATTACTGTCAATATTTCAACAGAGTAAGTAATTCTTGCGAAATTCTGAGTCAATATCTCGGGAAAATGTCATTTCGAGGTGCTGAGTCAATGTTTCGAGAAATTGCCATCATTTAAATATATCAAATCAATATTTCTACAGGATAAGTCTTTGTTCCGAGATGCTAAGTCAATATTTCTAAATCTTAAACCAATATTTTAAGAAAATAAGTATATTGAGATAAGTCAATATTTTGACACACAGCTGCCAGAAACAGTGAAGGCAGCTTCTCTTGCTGGCGGGAATCACAGGTTTCTGTTCAGAAAATACACAATTAGCGTTAATTAGAGCCTCGTGTTAATTAGAGCCTCAGTGTTAATTAGAGCCTCGTGTTAATTAGAGCCTCTCTGATCACGACTGACTGATTAACAGCCATATATTCATCACGAATCACTGACCTGCCGACAGAACTGACTGAAGCTGCTTTGTTTGTTTGTTTGTTTGTTTAGTTACTCACTGCTCTGGTCGAGTCTCTCCGGGTCTTGATCCACACTCCTCCTCCACCGGGACCCTCCGCAGGTGAATATAACGGCTCTGATGAACTCCCTGCCGCACAGTTTCACCCCATAGTCCCTCTGCAGAGAGCCCTCACTCACGCACACGCACACCCCGCACAGCAGCAGCAGCGCCACTGGACACAGCCTGGAACCGGACATCGGGTCTGCGGAGTCTCGGAGACGCGGAGCTGCTGAAGGTTCACTGGTGGCTTTTATCGACCTTCTTTTCCACGCGGGGCATCTTTTATACCCTCTCACTGTCCACTTACCCACGTCACCCAACACCCCCACCATCACCCCCACCAGTACACCATTACTCATCTCTCCTCAGGCTCCACACACATCCACTCCCATCAGCAGCAGCTCTGCTGGACTTTCACACAGAGACATTACTGGAGTTAAATATGACAAACTAAACTCAAGCCAACTCTCTAACTGGGGGGCTTCCAGTGGCACACATTACTGCTCGGTGGGCTGGAGTCACTTCTTATTTTATAAAGTTATTGTTTTATTCATTAACAACTTCAACAGTGTGGATTAAAATACTATAAGCCAGACATCGAAGGGCATATTTTATTATATATATATATATATATATATATATATATATATATATATATATATATATATGGATACTGTGGGGCATGAAATACACAATAAGCTGTAATTATTTACCATAATTTCATATTTTATTCTTAGAATACTAAAGAAAATACTCTTCACACACACAAACACACAATATTGACATCGACATTTAGTATTATTTTTAAATATCTATTTTATGAAAAAGACCAAAAATGTCCTAAAATACCTTCTAGTGTTTGGGGGACCATCATAAGCTGCTAAAATAATGCACATACTATATTGTAACTATTATCTATTTACAGTAATTAAAGTTATCTGCCTTGAGATCTGATCACCTCTTACAAATATGGGCCACTCTGGATATTAATTTTGTTATAACGTCATTCTCGATGTTCTACAGCTTTGTCAGTCACTATAGAATCATCAGTCTCATTTGTTCATTTTTACAGCTTTCTGCTAATCAGTTGAAATCTATGAAGTTCTGGAGCTCCGTTTGAACACTTTAGTCATATGACACGTTCTCTTGGTTTGTTAAGTGAAAATAAGTTAAAACATCCTCTACAAGTAACTTATGAAAAAATAAACTATGAAATGTTATCAGAGGTGCCCAAACATTTGCACATAATTATATATCAATTTTATCAGCTCCACTGACCAAATAGGAGCCCTCTGTTGTTCTACAGTTACAGACTGTAGTCCATCTGTTTCTCTTTGTCAGTCCCTTTTCACCCTGCTCTTCAGTGGTCAGGACCTCCACACAGCAGGTACTATCTGGGTGGTGGATCATTCTCAGCTCTGCAGTCACACTTTTCAACAATGTAAATTTGCCTTTTGCAGAAGCCCAATTTTATTGATTAATAATCATTACAGAAACATGTTTGTTGTATTTATTGTTCATAACGCCAAAATCCTAACAATACAATCAGAGCGCTCACACTTTTTAATAAAAGCAAGATCTTGAGTTCTCGACACGTTTACAGTGCAGCCACAAATCCACCATCGTTTAACCGACACATGATTTTACTCAGAACTCTTTCTGGCCTTTCAGGTAATTAACTGCAATTCATTTAAAAATTTGTCAGTCATAATGTGTCAGTGGCTTTATTTACATTATTATCACAGGGCATCACAAAGTACACCAAACCACAGCGGATCTAAACCTTAATTACATTTACAGGCAGTGACAATGAACACTGCACTGTAGAAGACCTTAAATCTTGTCAACATATCTAACATATATCATTATGAAATGTAGGTCACTGCTGTCGGGAAAAAAACCCTTGTATTTTCAGTTTATGACACAATCTGAAAATGCCTGTTGGTCTTTACATTGTGTGTAAATTTCACAATAAATGGACCAAAAGAAACAACTCAAAATGACTTAAAACGAGAACTCTGGTTCCATTGACTCACATTAAAAGTAAAGTCTGTTTTTTCCTTCTCCTGTAAAGTTACCATTTTGGACAAACAAGGTTTTTTCCGACAGCAGCGATAAGAATATTCCACCTATTTCTACACATTTTTATTGACTTTATGTAGTGTATTTGTCATTCCACATGCAGATAGCTTTGTGTGTTTTTTTTAAAAATAGCACAATTCCTTGTCAAATAAGATGATTTAGAAATAGGTTGAGTGATCTTATTCTTACAACAATCTCAATATAAGATATCGTCACTGTCCAAAGAAAAACAACCAAATCTCCAAAAAGGCAACTTTACAGGAGAGGGCAAAAATGTTCTTTGCTTCTAATGTAAGTTAAGTGATTTCTAAGTATTTCTATTAGTCCAATCATTACGAAACTGTCAAACGATACGAAGGGCAGCTGGCTTGTTCAAATGATGGAGAAAAATAAAAATGGACAAAAATGCAGATGCATGTTTTCTTTGGACAGCGATGATGAGCTGACTAGATCTGAGATGATTTCACTTGAGATGTCACTTTTGCAGTGCCTTCAATGAAAATAGAGAGTTTAGAAGAAACAATCTGCAACCTCACTGGTTGTTATTATCCACATATATTAAGACAGCACTAAAATTAAATACTCATTAACAGAGTAGGGGGTAGAAACTAAGTTCAATTAGTCAGACAGAAGTGCAGCGTAAAGCATTTCGGCTGCTGTCCTTGAGTAACTGGCTCTGAGGTACCAAAGACAACACTCAGTTCCTTCACTGTTCTGCAGAGCCCTGCTGGTGACATCCCATATAAATAAAAAACCACGGGGCCACACTGTATTAAAGCATGGGAACAAGATCCTAAAGCATGGCTGTGAGTTAGTAAGGTGTGGGAACAAGATAATTGATTCGTAGCCACAACTTATTAAGGTATGGGAGTGAGATAATTAAGCCTTCTCATCTCATTCCCACACTTACTAAGTCGTGGCCACACGTTATTTCTATTTATACGGGCTGTCACCAGCAGGGCTCCGTACTGTTCAGTCCAATTCGCCTGATATGAATTATGCATGTCAACTGATGGTAACTGAGTAATAACTGGCAGCAATTCTCCACATTTTGGAGACATTTTCAGTTTCAAGTATGGTATTTTCCACATATGTCTGTGTTTAACGTTGTAAAAGGCACTTGCTGGTCTGTAATGCAGCTTAGAAGTACACTGTATGTCCAAAAGTGAGTTAATCCTAATCAGTGAGTTCAGCTAAAGTACATCCACTGCTGACACAGGTATATAATCTCCATAATCTCCTTTTAAAAGCATTGATCAATAGAATGGGATACTCTGGAGCAGCTGCACATGAGCCTAAGGTCAGCATGCCCAATGCCAAGCGTCAGCTAGAGGAGTATAAGCCCCCCAGCAGTGGAGCTGTGTTTTCTGGAGTGATGGAGCTCCATCTAATACCTTTGGGATGAATTGGAGTGATCCAGAACTGACCATCCAACATCCAGAGGTGTAAGTAACGAATTACATTTACTCTCGTTACTGTAATGGAGTACAGTTTTCCCTGTAACGGTACTTTTTTGAGTAGAATTAAATCATAGTACCTTTACTCTTACTTGAGTTATATTTTAATGAAATACTTTTACTTCGCTACTTTAATTTTCATAAAGTTAAAATAAACGATGAGCGTATCAGCTCAGAAACCAATACAACATCTTCCCAGTCTTTCAGTGATTCTAAAATACTTTATTGGAAACAGATAAGACTAGGACGTCTTATATTACCATCTAACCATGAAACGCATGCAGTGTAATGTAAACCTTATTCCTTGCACAGTTCAGAGAAAGGACTCTGATCAGTCTCAACTCTCAGAACTTCAGCTTTAGTGTTTTTCTGTACAGATTATTTCCAGTGATGTAGCCGAGTCGGCTCAGAAATATGTTCAGGTTGTGACGATAGAAATACAAAAAAGTAACTAAGTAACTCAGTACTTAAGTAGTTTTTTAATGAACTACTCATTTACTCTTACTGGAGTAATTTTATTTACTAATACTTGAACTTGAGTAAATCATCACTACAGTACCAGTACTTGTACTTGAGTAGGGATTTTCAGTACTCTTTACACCCCTGCCAACATCAGTACTTGACCTCACTAAAGCAGCAATCAAAAATCCCCACAGCAATGTTCAACATCTAGTGTAAAGCCTTCCCAGAAGATTAGAGGCTGCTACCTCAGCAAAAGGGGGCCAAACTCACTATTAATACCCTTCATTTCCGAGGAAGCGCTGGACGAGCAGGTGTCTACAAACTTTTGGACACATAGAGTACATGTGTGTAGCCCATGTTAAGAACACGGTCCACTGACTGTTAAAGTAAACTATGACTTCAGCATGTAGAGGATGATGAAACAAACCAGTAAACAGTTTGGGGAAACAGGAGTTTTGTTTATATAGCACAAAAATTCAAATCTTGTAAAGGGGCAATGACTCATCTCAATATCTGCCCAGGATAAGAAGCGCCATGAAGAAAATCTGCCATCAGCTGTGATCTGATTTTTACAGAATGCATAATTTACATTCAAATCATTTGCATTCAACAAAAACTGTCGTTCCCTTGGAGTTCAACACTGAATATCTGGTAACACTTTATTTGAAGCCTGCATAAGGACTTCATAACACATAAATAAGTATTGAATTATGTACTTATGTAGTTACTTATGAAGTTATCCACTTTTGCACTTATATTTGATTATAGTATAATAATCAATAGTGTTTTTATTTAGGCCTCTGCATAGCCCTGTATAAGCTCCATCATTTGAGGAGAACAGTTATAACAGTGTTATAAATGAAACAAACTGTCCATCACTTGAGTTTAAGGTCCCTTACATCAGTACAATGTCATTTACTTCATAAAACATCTTATGTCATCTTGCGATTAATAACATCAGCTGTTCATAAATACTCAAGTATTGCTTTATGAATATGTTATTCAATGATTATTCATGTGTAATAAAGTCTAGGTAGCCTTTACATGAAGTGTTACCAAATATTTTAGGCTGAAGTAAATAGCCTTGATCAGTTATTATAATAATAGGCTGACATCTATTACATTACGTTATAACAACATGAAAATGGCAACAACATTTAACGGAGAAGTGCAAGTGATCAGCACATGATGCGTTGGCTGCGTATTTATCTATGTTTAGCTGCAAAACTCAAGTAGAACTAAAAGTTTAAAAAATCTTTATAAACTGTAGACAAACTTTTTAGCGATGCTAATGATCGATGTAGTAAGTGCATAATGCTAACGCTAGCTAGCCAGTGAAACTCCAGTGAACAACTTTGTGTTTTAATGATGAAAATTTAACGAAATAATATTTCTGGGGGAAAAATGCTAAAGGGGGCTTTTGCCCTGAGTCTGAGGAGACGATTTACGCCAAAGGTCTAACTTTAAATTTTACACATCAAAAGAAAAAAAAAATCTTTTTAATTTAATATATCCAACGAATGCAGTGATACAGACTGAATTTAGAATGTCAGATCACAGTTATTCAGTAAATTTGTCAAAATTAGGTTTAACACCATCCTCTGACCAGAGGAGAAGTCAGAAATGTGGGCATCTTACCCTGGGGGGCTTGCCTGATGAAGTAAAATGGACGGAAAGTGCCTGAACACACTGATTGCTACATATTAGTCATTGATAAATGTACACAATTAGGAGATAAAAATGAACCATAAATTACATCCAGGTTACACATTTCTAATCAACAGTAATTACAAGTCTTAGTGACACCTGAACACTTGCTTGCTGTGGAGTAAAGAGTTTAAAGAATACTCCAGTCTTTCAACCTGATCTCCATCCGCTGCCTCTGCTTCAGCACCTGCTCATCGGCTTGTACTGTAAATGCATTCCGAGTCTTTTTAAAACAAGATTATTGTTGACAGCATTCAGCAGATGCAGCAGATACAGATTAGTATGAAAACAGTAGTTTTTATTAATGTATGGCAATGCTTTGGTAACGCTTTGACAGCTCTTTCATTGGCGTAATTGAGTGATCTTCATCGGTCAGAGATGGGCTTTCATTATAATTGGTTGACGCTGACCCAGAAAAAAAGACAGGTGGAGGGTTCCTCATTTCTCAGAGAGAAGGGGGAGGTGAGATTTGGCTCTTCGTGCTTTCTCAACGCTCTCGAATGTCGGCGTTCCATGAGGCAAACTCAAACGATCTCCTTCAGACGCCATGATGCTCTCGGCTTCATCTGTAAACACAGTAAACAAGCTGCACATCCACACAGACTGGACAGCAATACTTAAAGATGGTTTAGTGTGCAACTCTAAATACATTTCAAAAGAGTAACAGGAAAGGGCAAAATATGTTCTCTGTGGCAAAAATATATTTTCACGATACACGATATGTATCATTGTATGATATGTATTATATTTCGTTTGAGGTTTGTGAACAAACTGGAACAGACAAAACAAAACAACAAAACATCAAAATATGCCACAATTTTTATTTGCTGAGCTTAAAATCTTGGAAAAAAATAATGTGCCATAACTTTTTCATAGACCACATTTTATATTTTTTCCACCAATAGGTTAAATTCAGAAAATAAACAGCAGTAAGTATGTATTCCCTGTATAGGATATGTACTTCTTTTCATAATCCTCATATGTCCTACAGGTTATGTCCTATGTGGCTTGCAATGCATACATACACCGATCAGGCATAACATGATGACCACCTCCTTGTTTCTGCGCTCATTGTCCATTTAATCAGCTCCACTTACTATATAGGTGCACTTTGTAGTTCTACAGTTACAGACTGTAGTCCATCTGTTTCTCTGCATACTTTGTTAGCCCCCTTTTACCCTGTTCTTCAGTGGTCAGGACCCCCATGGACCCTCACAGAGCAGGTACTATTTGGGTGGTGGATCATTCTCAGCACTGCAGTAACACTGATGTGGTGGTGGTGTGTTAGTGTGTGTTGCGCTGGTACGAGTGGAGTTTTTAAACACTGTGTCCACTCACTGTCCACTCTATTAGACACTCCTACCTTGTCAGTGGACCTTGTAGATGTAAAGTCAGAGACAATAGCTCATCTGCTGCTGCACAGTTTGTGTTGGTCATCCTCTAGTCCTTCATCAGTGGTCACAGGACGCTGTTGGCTGGATATTTTTGGTTGGTGGACTATTCTCAGTCCAGCAGTGACACTGAGGTGTTTAAAAACTCCAGCAGCACTGCTGTGTCTGATCCACTCAGACCAGCGCAACACACACTAACACACCACCACCGCATCAGTGTCACTGCAGTGCTGAGAATGATCCACCACCCAAATAGTACCTGCTCTGTGAGGGTCCATGGGGTTCCTGACCACTGAAGAACAGGGTAAAAGGGGGCTAACAAAGTATGCAGAGAAACAGATGGACTACAGTCTGTAACTGTAGAACTACAAAGTGCACCTATATAGTAAGTGGAGCTGATAAAATGGACAATGAGCGTAGAAACAAGGAGGTGGTCATAATGTTATGTCTGATCGGTGTATACAGCAGGTACCGTGTGCATGTTCCAGCAATTAAAAGGTGGAATACAGGTAAAATGCAGAGTTTTTGGGAATGAGTCAGGACACCTAAAACGGAGCTGAAAAATGTGACCATTCCAGGAAATACAGGACCATCCTGATGGGAAAACGCATGACTCATGACGTGATTGCTAATCAAACAGCAGCAATCTTAAAATACAGGAATCTATGGACTTCAAACCTGGATGATTAATTGGTAAGTAAAGCGGTTCCTGGAATCGATCGGTGAACACAGGCTCAGCAAACTCAAAGAACGGCAACCCTGATGTAGTAATCGAGTAATGACAAACGACAACAAAGTCACAATTTAAACCCTCCTGACCTCTGAAAGATTCACTTCTTACTGCACTGAAAAGAATTAGAGTTGAGTACAGACAGGAAGAAAAGCATCAAAACTCTACAGGCTGCACACTGTAGCACTTCAAAGTGATTTCTAAGAGTGCTGATTGAATTAATAACACAGTGCATAGCCTTGAGAAATTACTGGACCAAACTGGATCAGATTATACCTCTTAACACATAATTTGACACCAAGACGTCGCCACGAGAGAAACGTGAAAGTATCATTTTCCTATTAATGTCTAGATAATTTTTTAGAAACGTTCTTAAACCCAGTGATTGGTAGGTGCCACTTGAAGGCAGGACGGGATTAGCAGGATGAATGCAGCTCTTACACGAACGTATAATCAGAAATCAATCAGTGTAGAAAAACTCAATAAGCTTAAGTTGACCCTTCTACAGTAATTGAATTGAATCGGAAAAGAACAGAAGCGAACGTGACGTCACGCTGCGCAAATCAACCACTAACTTCCTGATAAAAGGACGAGGATGTCGGTGACTAAAAATATTAACCCTTGTGTGGTGTTGATGTGTTTGTTACTCAGTGATCTGCTGGACCCACCACATTACTGTTTTTTAACTAATACAGTCATAACAATTTATGTAAAAACACCAGATGTTTAAAATATCACAAGTGGCCAGCGTAGGGTTCTCCTTTAGCAGCTGTAGCCAGTCAGCAGCCTGTCCATGTTGTCCACCCTCACACACACACACACACACACACACACACAGACACACACACACAGACACACACACACACACACACAGACACACACACTAACAGCAGGCCATGTAGGAGGAGAACAGAGTGAAGGACACAGCACCTCCACACTTTTACTCCCCGCGGGTTCACCCAACACCACATGTGTAATATAAATGTGTGGGGGGTGAACAGAGTGAAGACACTGAAAATGGGTTATTTTATATGATCTTCACAGAAAATGAGCAAAGGCCAAGAATCTGAGGTTGAAATAATAATAAATCACATCATTTTTTCTTTTGGTAAACATGAAAATGGGTCCCACAGACCTGAACACCCCACAAGGGTTAATTCATTGGTTAAGATTACTGAGTAAGAGTGGTTTGGTGTGAAATGCACAGTTCTAGAGAAAATTCTAGAGTCCAAATTGTTCGCAGTGGTGGTGATAGGAACCAGACAGCCACCTCTAAAAGCTCCCTCACAGAAAGTTACTACATGAAATGCATACTGCCTGATGCTTGAGACATTGTTTTACAATAGTTTTTTATAAGGTTTGACCTAAACCATAAAAATAACATTCATAGTGGGAAGGTACATGAAGGTTTTACCACTATTTTACTATCATCAACACTACATATTGACATTTAGATGATACATGCAGGAATCCCTGGTTCCTATCACTATCACTGTAAACAACTCAAAATCTCAATGAGAAACTTGCTTCAACGTGGTGCAATTTCCCTTTAACCGTTTTGAAGTCAGCAGTTTTGACCGGTGATAATACAAGAATGCTATGATTACATGAACACTTTCTCACTGAAACAAGCAGGAAAATACAGTTTCTAATCTTTCAATCCATATAACAGTGTTTGTAAGAAGAAGAGAAGAGGTTTCATTACGATTTGAGGAAAAGCTAGTGTTGCATGTCCAGTCATGTTGTGCAGAAAGACAAAAACGTTTTACCTTCACATTTTTACCATGTTTTTGTCATGGGACGTCAAAACAAATGGAAAAAAGTCACAAGTGCAGACTCAATACAGTATGCAAATCATCTGTAAACGTCACTTATAACGTGCTCAACTAGGAAATGAGGTAGACTAAATAATTACATTTACATAGCCATTAATTTAAAAAAAATTTAAATGGCCATAAGTTAACCGTTAAACCCAACCAAAATGGCCCCTCTTTCAGAGCTGTGCAATCTGTGTTAATGGAAGCTGCACGGTGTGTGCTTAAAGGCAGGTAATGTGTTGTACCTCTCATGCGGTGGATGAGCGTCCCGTATGCCATGTCCAGCTGATAGACCAGAATGAAGCTGAGTGGAATCACAGGGGCAAACAGAGCAGGCTTCTTCCTCTTTATGGCTCTGCAGAGTGTAAAAGCCAAATTAAAGGTTAAATAAAAAATAAACAAATAAAACTAATATCGGCCAATGTTATCAGTCAACTGATAAAACGGTTGAGCCCTAATATGTGTCAGTGTGTCAGTGTGTGTGTGTGTGTGTGTGTGTCTGATACTGACCCCGCAGTGAGGCCGAATGCTGCCAGGCCAAAGAAGCTTCCAAAGTATTTGATGAATTCTCTGGACCAGGCGATCTGCATGGCCATCTGCCGCTCGCGCATTTCATTCTGCATCAGGATCTGACGCTCCATCTACACACACACACACACACACACACACACACACACACACACACACACAAATTGTGACTGTCAGTGATAATATATCCAATGTGTTATATGTACATATAAGTCCATATATGCAATTATAAGTCTATATGAATTATATATATGTAAGGAATTATATGAAGCAATATGTACATACTTTACTTTTAATCAATTCTTCATGAAATTTACACACAATGTAAAGAAAAACAGGCATTTTGAAATTATGTCTTCAACTGAAAAATGAAAATAGAGATACAAGGTTTTCTTCCGACAGCAGCGATATGTAAGGACCTATATGCAACATGTCCCCTATGCACCACATATATTGTTGCGCATAGGTCCTTATGTATATACGTGATACATAAGGGATATTTTGTTGCATACAGTCCTTCCATATCGTTGCTGTCCAATTAAAAACATACATCTCCATTTTTTAGATTTTTTAATTTTCTGCATCATTTGAGCTTATATGTATCACATATATACATAAGGACCTATATGTAACAATATATCTCATATGCATTATATATACACATGTAAGGACCTATATGCAACAATTTGTCCCCTGTGTATTATCTTTATGTAAGGACCTACATGAAACAATAATAATGTACCTACATGTGATATATGATAAATGTATCATATATTGTAGAACTCAGAAGAGCTTCACTGATGTCAAAGTAGGATATGATTGGCTTACAGTGTATAGAGTCTACTATGATTGTCTAAACTGGATGTTGCGCTTTTCCCTACTGCCAAACAGCAGAGGATTACTACCCCTTATCTTAGAGAATACTACAAATCTGTCAAAGGGTCAAACTAACAGCGGTTTAGGGCTGTTAATCATTTATTGAGTTAACGCATAATTAACATGTTAACTTTGATACCTGTAGCAATAACATATCACAGAACTCAGAGCAGCGTGTCTAATATGACGGAACTGAACCACTGAAATTAAAACACCTGTAAAGCCAGCAAACAACACATATTAACCAGTGACATTTATTAGAGAAGGACAGGGAGAAAACAGAAGACAGAAAAACACGGAGGAAGACAGATAGGTGTGATAAATAACTACTTGATCTGTGTAACAGCCTTAAGGGAGGAAGGGGGGAGGAAGGGTGGAGGAGGTGGCGGAGGTGCAGGTCTTGCGTGTGTGTCTAATACCCCACATTTATTAACCTCCAGCAACAGTGAGCAGTGAATTAATAGTAAAATAGGTACAATTTTTTCCTAGTTCAAGGCTTATTTGGGTTATTTCTGTAATTTAATTGGTTGCTAATGAAATCTGTGATTCTAATCCAGTATTAATCTGGAGTGTGTGTAGTTGTTACAGCCATTATAGTAATAATTGTGGAGTGATTCTAATCCAGTATGAATCTGCAGTGTGTGTAGTTGTTACAGCCATTATAGTAATAATTGTGGAGTGATTTTAATCCAGTATGAATCTGCAGTGTGTGTAGTTGTTACAGCCATTATAGTAATAATTGTGGAGCGATTTTAATCCAGTGTGAATCTGCAGTGTGTGTAGTTTTTACAGTCTGACGGTAATAATTGTGGAGTGATTTTAATCCAGTGTGAATCTGCAGTGTGTGTAGTTTTTACAGTCTGACTGTAATAATTGTGGAGTGATTTTAATCCAGTATGAATCTGCAGTTTTTACAGTCTAACAGTAATTTGTAATAATAATAGTGTAATAGTAAATTGTAATAATAATTCTTCCCATCCGAAAAATTAATATAATGAAAACATTACAACACATTATTTATGTTTTGGAATATACTGGCAACAGCATATTTCATTCCTCAGGAACAAATCAGTATGATTTGGGGAGAAATCAAATAGTTCCTTCAGCCTGTGTTTTAACTATTACCCCTCTAAGCAATGCAGAGCGAAGAAAGACTGAATCACATTACTAAGGCGTCACTGAGGCACATCCGAAGGGCTGTGTGACAGAATGACCTCAAACACACGTCACTCCGACAAAAACAAACCACACTTCGCTTTATAATATATTGTTTGTTAATCGCTATCACAACACTGACCTTTTCAACACTGATATGACAGAAGGCTACAACATGCAAATGAGCCTGAAACGAATCACGATGGGTTTTATTGTGTGCTGTGAGCATCCTGAACGGTCAACATGAGATTCTGTGGGTGTTCGGATGAATCAAAGATATTCACATGGCCCAAGAAATGTGAATAATGTTGGCCGAAAGGAAGACCAATTTTTTTACACATCAAGGGTTCACAAACGTCTTTTTATATACTGCATGGCATACTGCAGTCATAACCCCTATACTCGACAGGGGCATGAACATATCTGCTGATACCGATTAGGTTTATTAAATGCAGAAACTGGGACTAAATCAACCTTGAATAGCTTTACATTTATTTCCGGTAGGGTTACAAGTGCAGTAAACGGAATAAAATGCCAATTTTTTAGCGTCCCCCTGAACGTTCTGCTCTTCCACAGCTCAATAAATACAACATCAAAATCAAATACTGGTTTGAAATATCTAATCTAAACATACATTCAATGCATATATTTATATATCACTGCTGTCAGAACAAAACCTCGTATCTCCAAAATGGTAACTTTACAAGAGAAAGAAAAAATATACTTTACTTTTAACGTAAGTCAATAGAACCAGATGTCTTTTCAACTAATTCTAGGTCATTTCTTTTGGTCCATTCATAATAAAAATCATGCACAATGTAAAGGGCAACAGGTATTTTCAAAGCCAAAAACCGAAAAATGACAAAAATATTTAATATGTTGTCCTATTGTGCACACACATACAAAAAGCTTTCTCTGGAGCAACAGAACCTGCTTTTTTCTTCTCTTTTTCTCTTTTTTGCCAAAAATACATTATATAGACATTAAATATGACAACCATTATTGTTACGTCAATTATTTGCAACAATAATACATGATAACACTGCTAACTTAGCTAGTTAAACTATAAGGCAAAAAGTATATGGACACCTGTCCTTAAACACCTATTTGAACTTGCTGGACATCCTATTGGCTCATGGGCATTAATATGTTGTCCCCCCCAATCCTAAAAAACAGCCCCAGACCATTATCCTTCTCCTGGCACTCACCACTCCAGTGAACACGTTTCCACTGCTCCAGAGACCAGTCACATGCTTTACATTGCCCATAGTGATCTTAGGCTTGTGTGCAGCTGCTCCCATTTTCTGAAGCTCCCGACACACAGTTCTTGTGTCCACATACTTTTGGCCACTAGTGTACGTTTTTCCAGTGCAAGTCAATGTAAAATTCTTCTCCTTTCCGTCATATGAAATTCATCCATCACTGAGAAAAACAAGCAAACGAAGCACAAACTGAAACGATGAAAATACAGCAGTGAGTACTGAGTGCCAGGCTTCATGAACACGGGAACTGAAAATGAGTAACTACACGGCTCTGTGCTGTACGCTCAGAGATCTTGTCAAATGAAGCTTGGAGATTAAACATACCAAGTCACTTTCAATAATCAGCCTCCAAAACATCAGGTGAATCAGAAAAAACAGGTTAGTTATATCTAACCGTTTGTATGGGCCATAAGATTCGAATGGTTGGGAACCCCTGCCATAGAAGAACCACCTTCGGTTCTCTAGAGAAGCTTTTAACTGAGTCTCTTATTGAACCACTGAATAGAAAGGTTTCTACAGAAGCAAAAGCTCTTCTTCTGTGGCACCGGTATTTTTAAGAGCCTGCTCTCTCTCAACTGTAGACAAGCAGGAAATAATCTCTTTGCCTTCCATAAAGGCTCTGAATCAGGGCTGTTAATGCAAACTGAGGTGGCTTTCAAACAGCTCTTATCAGCCAAAGTAATGCCGAATTACTATTTATGATGTCTTGAATTAATTATTCACCCATTATTATTCCCATTAGACATTCAGCAGAATTCTGATCTGAAAATACTGCCTTTCAAATCCATTCAGCACTGTTAGCTGACCTATAACACGCCACAGTCTGGATCTGGACCCCTAGACGCTCTGGGTCCTTTCTGCACAGCTGATCTTTTGGCACCTTCACGAATTAGCATGTTTTGTCTCAAACATTGGGCCAAATCTTTGTTCTGACCATTTCCTGTTTGCGAGCAGGCGTATTCTGCTACAGTTTTATCCCAGACAAATGAACAAAAGCTGTTTAAACATGCTTTAACTCAGCTGGAGCGCGGGTCTGAATGTTAACTGGACGTCTCTGAGAAAAGAAAGGACATCTGTCATTGTGACGTTAACGGAAATGGAACGTGCACTTAAACGTGTTAAGTGCTACAAATTGCAGGGTGTGTTTCCTCCTCATTAGGAATTGCGCTTTTACTGTATAATTTTGAATATATACCCCACCTTTTAATGAATGTCAGCATGAAACTGAGATAAAATCATTTCCTGAAAATAATACATTCATTTAGATATTATATCCTGAAATGACTGGAGCATAAATGTCTTTAACAGAGAGAAGAGAGAAAGAGAAGTAGTGATATCAAATTCGCCCATTAAGACTCAAGCCTAAAAGTGGTATAAAGCATGCTTGATTTTTGACTGTAACTTGTCATTTTTTAGTTACATCAACACAAATATTCAATGCAAATGATGTAAACTGTGGACAAAAGAAAAAAACAAACACATCAAAAGGTTAAACAACACATCCATTTATAAACTGAAAAACATTTATTTATATGCAATAACAACTAATACAATTCAGTTTACAGTTTAAACCACGAAAGGTAGTTTCAGAAGGTTTAGTCAATATTTCAAGTGTTCTGGCAACAAAAAAGAAGTTATTTAAGAAAAAAACAACACTGTAATTATCTTTTTTTTAGGAATTTGTGTCACATTATCTGCCTCATCACTTTTAAAATCCACTACATTACAAAATGTATGTGGTCACCTGGCCATCACACCTATATGAACTTGTTAGGCATCCGATTTCAAAACCATGGGCATTAACGTTGCCAGCGACACCC